TTGTCTGTAAAATACAAAATAATGTTTTGTTTACAATCCTGTTTATAAAAAAAAATCCTGACAAAAGGAAATTGAAGGAGAAATTAGATGGAATGGAGAATGATCAATCTGATATTATCTGGAATTTGTGTATTGGTGAGGGTGTGACAAATTCACTGATCACATTTTTTCTGATCAGCCACATGCCTAACACATGTGGAAATCCACCATTAAACTTAATACTTTCCATAACCATAGCACCGTCTATGTGCTCATCTCACAGTGGATGGGACATTGCTGGTGCAGACTGGCTGCCCTGTTTGTCGACGTAACATTTCTTTACCAACCCTTTTGTGATTAACTCATTAATTTAGTTCCATACTAACTTTGGAGGACTTCTTTCTCCTCTTCTGCACCTCCCACCCCCCCTTAATGGCTGACTTGTTAAAGAAGTGTGGAAGGACACCTGGGTAGTACTGACCGTAACAAAATAAAGTATGAGATGGTAATGCTAAAAATAAGTGTGGCATTTGTTGTTTAAATATATTGAGTAGCGCTTTAAATGGGTAACTGACTATCTATAATTTGCGTAAGTGGATAGGAAGATGCACTGCTTCCCTATTGAGTCACTTAAAGGATGATTTTGACTGGACATGAGAATTACATCAAGTAATTGGGGCTATAGAATTACTGTTGGGTACCCTAATTCAGGGAGGGGCTCATTGCCCATAAAAGAACGAGCGCCATGTACTCGTGGTCGCTATTCTTCTACCTGATGACAACAAAGGTATGTGCTCTGACTATTGTTGAGTAGAAGTCAGGGGTTGGTTCTTCGTGCGCTTTACATTAACTTCATTACAAGTGCTGCAAGCATGTGTAATTTAAGTGTGATTAATGTTTGTTAACTCATAGTTGTGTTTGTTGATACTTATAGTGTCGTTTAAGATTTACTGCCAAGGGTTGTGGATTTCGTCGAAGTTACAATAAAATTCGATGAGCTAACTTAACCGTGCTTAATTTGAGCTTTGAATAGGACTAAAGTGGCAGACTAGTCACTGGAGGCAGGTTTTTGTCAAGCCATTTTTGAATAATTTTATTAACAGCCCAAGTTGCACTGATGATTATACAATACAAAATAACGTTTGCGAAGCGCCTTTCACGTCGGCATGACATCCCAAGGCGCTGAACAGTCAGGGATTAGAACCTGGTGGGGGTAGGGTGAGGTGGTTGGGATCAGGGAGTGTGGAAGGCAGAGAGTGTAGGAGGGTGGCCGAATGCACGGTCGAAGAGCAGGGTCTTGAGGTGGGCCTTGAAGGAGGCAAGTGAGGGATCAAGGCGAAGGAATTGTGGGATGCAATTCCAGAGGTTGTGGGCAGAGATGCGGGAGGCCCAACTCGTGATGGTGGGGTGGGTCGGGCAGCAGACATGGAGCAGGCCGGAGCCTGCTGAGCGGAAGGAGCGGACAGGTTGATAAGCAGGTCGGAGACGTAGGAGGGGGAAAGATCATGGAAGGCATTAAAGGTGAGGGCCAGAGTTTTGAATTCGATCCTCTGAGGGATGGGGAGCCAGTGGAGCTGGGCGAGGGTGGGTGTGACTGGGTCATGGAATCTGGTGCGGGAGAGAACACAAGCTGCAGAGTTCTGGATAGTCCGCAGCACGTGGAGGGAAAAGTTGGGAAGGCCGACCAGCAGGGCATTGGCATAGTGGAGCATGGTTGCAATGAAGGCATGTATGAGGGTTTCGGCGGCCTGAGGCAGTGGCAGACTCGGACAATGTTACGGAGGTGAGGGAAGGCAGAGCGGGTCATGGCACGGATGTGGGGGAGAAAGGACAGTTGAGGGTCAAACACGATGCCTAGGTTCCTAAGTGGCTTCATGAGATGGAGTGTGCATCTGTGGATGCTAATGCTGCCGGTGCTGAGGGGCGGAGGCGCTGGCGTGAGCCAATCAGGAGAGCCTCGGTCTTGCCGTCGATGAACGGTAGAAAGTTGGCTAGATCAATGGTCCTGGGGTCAAGGATGGAGGCAGAGAGATAGAGTTGGGTATCATCCGCCTAAATGTGGAAATTCATCCCATGTCTGCGGATGTTGTCACCAAGTGGGAGCATGTACAGGTAGAAGAACAGAGGACAGAGCTCCGAGGAACACTACAAGAGATGGTGCGTGGGCTGGAGGAGAGGCATTTTGTGGAGATAAAGTGGAGCCAGTGTTAGAGATAGGATCTAAATCATTCAAGGACAGAACCTCGAAGGTTATGGTGAGAGAAGAGGTGGTGGAGGAGGATAGAGTGGTCCACAATATAATATATTATTTATATATAATAATATTAGTTCATTTGTCATCATTATTGTATAAGATCTATTACATTTTAAATATTTTTTATTATTATTGCTGTACCATTCTTCTTGTATCAAACTCTGCACGCTAATCATCTCAATGCTCGCCAGCCTTTACTGGCTCCCTATCTCTGAAACGATCGATTTCAAGATCCCCACCCTCACATACATATCCCTTCAACCCCTACCATCTCATACCTCCCAGATTTGCTCATACCCCACTCCTCTGACCTCCCTTTCACTCAACTGGCCTATTGCATGATCCCCAATACCTCCACACCACCAGTGGTAGCCAAGCCTGTACCCACTGAACAATGATTCAACCTCACACCAAGGTGGAGTTTGACAGAGAGGCCAGGGAGGATGAGCAGGTCAGAGCCAGAGTGAGGAAATGTTTGCAATATCTCAGGAGGATGACTTCTCTCTTGACCGTGAATAGTTGAAGGACATTTTGGGACATCCAATCTTTGATAACCAATAGAGAAATGGACTAATGTCAATTCACCTGGTATCAAGAGTAGCGCCCTGAGATGTCTTCCGGCGTGGAGGGGGCTATATCAATCCAAGTTGTTGTTGTTGTTCAAGAGTAGTCCTCGAGGTCCATGTCTAACGCCAGATAATAATAATAATAATAATAATAATCCTTGCATTTGATATAGCGCTTTTCACGTCGGGAGGACGTCCCAAAGCGCTTCACAGAACACACTGTAAAGTGAATTGACTGTATATTTGTGGGTGAACGCGGCAGCCAATTGCGCACAGCAATGTCCCACAAACAGTCGTAGATTAAAAATGACCAATTTTATTATTGTTTTTGGTTTTTGGAGGGATTCTTATTAGGCGTGTGGAGTAAGGAAACTTGCCCAAGGTTTCTCCCTGCCTGGAATTGAACTCAGGTCTCTCGCTTGCAAAGCGAGTGCTCTAACCAATGTTGGAACTGGAACACAGACATTTTTTGGACAGCAGATGCTTTATGCACACATTGCGAAAATTCTGTCTCTTTCTCACCTCCTACACCCTCTCTTTGCCAATGTGTCTGTAGACATATGAAATCCCCATAATTTTAATGTTTTAATTCTTGTGGATTGAAGTGACCAAATTTTTTTTTGAGGATTATCAGGCGTGTGGACTAAGGTAACTTGCCCAAGGTTTCGCTGTGCCGGGAATCAAACCCACCTCTTGCTTGAGAGGCGAGTGCTCTAACCACTGAGCTACAGGACTCCTACGTATAGCGCCTTATTATGTCTTCAGTACGTCTCAACGAAGTGAATTGACTGTATATTTTATGAGCAAAACACTTTAGCCATTTGCGCACAGCAGTGTGCCACAAACAGTCATGGAATGAGTAACCAATTTTTTTTAAGGGATTATTGTTCCCGAAAAAGCGATCCACCAATCGACTAACAACTGGGTTCTTACTTACTGCTAGGTAAACAGAGGCATGTGGAGAAAGGAAACTTGCCTAACGTTTCACCTTGCCTGGGAATCAAACCCAGGTCCTCTCACTTGCGATATGAGTGCGCTAAGCAATATACTACAGGACTCCACTTGATACTGATCGGTCAGAACAGTAGAGGTCCTGGCATCAAGGGCGAATGCAAACTACATCTCCCGGGCACAAAATGGTTAGGAAACTAGCATCAGCAAATTGTCTGTAAATAATTACAAAAGCCTTCAACAAATTGCTGGAAAAAATAAGCCCCTCTACCCCCTCCTCTGGCCTCCAGTCAACCATTTCCACATTGTTGATCCTGTTCCCAACATCTTTGTCCTCCCTTATTCTTTGAATGAAGCCACCACCCACTCCTCGAACATATAGCCACATCTCTCTGGCCACCCAAACTCCCTTCTTCACACCTTTGCTAGCCAATCATTACTCTGCTTCTCCACTGGTACAGCACTCCCCGCCTTTCAAAACCACTGTCATCACCTCCTCCTGAAGAAACCGTCACTTGACCCTTCTCTGCTCTCCAGTTACCGAACGATCTCCAACTTGCCCTTCCTATCCAAAGCCCTGGAATGAGTTGTCACCTCCCAGCTTCACTTCTTCCTTGCAAGGTGGAACCCTCAAAGTGAGAATTCTGCCCAGACACGTGAAAATTTCCATGTGTAGGTGGCATACATATATGGAATTCTCAGTGTGGTTGGATACTTTCCAGCGTGGTGATGGGTTTCTGCACGCTTTAGACACTTTGCTGAAAAAGCCAAATTTCATTGTAATAAGAATAATAATACTTGCATTTGCTTATAGCTCCTTTTGTGTCTGGAATCTCAAAGCCCTTCACTGGATATATTGTAAAGTGTAGTGACTGAGTATTTTGTAGAGGAATGCGCCAGTGGGTTTTGTCTGCTGTAGATTAGCGATTGCATTTATTTACACAACTAAAGTTACCATTCTTTGTAAATCATTGTGTGAAGCATTCCAACACAGAGTACCACATCAATTTTAATGCCTGTTTTGTTATTTATTCCCTTTTGTTTCCTCTTTAGTTGCTCCCACTGTTGTCATAGAACCGTATCCAGACATCCCTGTGGCTGACAGTGGAGAAAGCACCATAGCCACCTGTCTAGCAAAAAATGCAAAGCCAGCCGCTTCTATACATTGGAAAGGTCCTTTCATTGTCAGTTTTACTCAGAGTGCCACACGTCCTGCTCCTGATGGAACTGTAAACGTCTCAAGCCCACTTCGTCTATCTGCAACCAGAGAGATGAATGGACAGTACGTTTACTGTGTGGTGGAACATCCAGCACTGAAGACTGCTGAACAATTGGGTTATCAGTTAAACATTCATTGTATGTATAACCATCTCTTCCTACACTGTTTTAACGTCCGGTTCAGTAAATACACAGTTTAGTAACACTTGTTAATGCCATTTTAGTAAATACACATAATAGAAGTAACAGTTGTTAATGCTGCTGTTTCTCCTTTCAACTTTCCAGTCAGTTTTCAGTTACATCATCAAATCTTGGAGGAGTTTTAAATTTCTGGGGTAAGGTTTTCATACATAGCTCCCATCCACACCTTCTCAACTCAGTCATTGACCTCATTGACCTGCACATTGAACACTCTCTCTCTCTCTCTCTCTCTCTCAGGCATACAAGTTCTCATTAGTTCTACTTTCTCTGCTTAACGCTTCAAATTTTACTTCCTGCACTATTGCTCCCCACATCCCACACCTCCTGCTGAGACACTTACACCGCTTCCAAACTCAACTATTGCAACAACCTACTGCTCCGCAGATCCTCAGCTGCTTCCGACACAAGTTACAGACCATCCAGAACTCTGCAGCGTGTGGCATCTCCTGGAGCAGGCTCTGTGAGCACATCAGCCCATCCTCACTCAGCTTCACTCGTTTCCTTTCTGCTCCCTTTCAAATGTCTCCATGGCCTACCATCACCCCACCTCTTCTATCGCTTGTGTTCCATTCTTGTTCTTGTGCTCAGCAAATTTTGCCAGCTTCACCTATCCCTCTCTGAAACTCCATCCTTGTGTCCCTGCATCTTGTCTCATGCTTTCCTGTTTGCTCATCTTTTGTACTATAGTACTGACCAAGTGAAAAGTCAAATTCTCTCTCTGTCGCATGCACACAACAATTATGCATGCATCTCAGGCTTATTGAGATATTCTTTATTACATGAAAGATTTGGAAAATTATGAGATTCCAATTTTATAGTCAATTACACTAATAATGCTTTGTTTCGTGGACTGAGAATCACAGCATGTGAAGACTCGTATCACCACTAACTGAATTGAACCTATTTAACAAATGTATTTGGGTACTTGGAGCAGGCAGAGAAAGAATGTTTACCACTTTATGATCTGAATTAATGCTCTGTTCTGAAACAAAATTGAAAGATCATTGTTCTACTTACAGTATGCAATCTTTTGTCCGTCTCTTCCACCATTGTCCTGTTTTGCTTCATTGTTTATGATTTTACTAGATTCATATCAGGATAACAGTCTTTTGTTTTATTTAATAAAGTTCTACAAGAGTCTTCAAACTTTCTAGCTTTCACAGCAGAATTGTTATAGTGGAGTTTTATCTGTCTATACTTCTCTGGAGAAAACTTTCCTGAATCTTCCAAATCTTGAATTTTGAATCGTCCTTGGAATCTACATTCTTTGAATCTCCATTTTCGAATATCTCATTGAATCTTAAATCTGCTCTACACTAAACTAACTGAACAGAACTTTGCATTAATATACCTGTTGAACTTTGCAATATTACATAGTGGGCTCCTCCCTTTGTGAGTGGAAGTGGGCTGAGATGGTTGGAGGGTATCTCCAATCAAATGCTACCCCTTTTTAAAAATAAGCAGCTGTGTTTAGCTGTTTTTCCTCTTGATTATTCTGAGCTTATCCATCTTTTGGATAGGCGGACAATTAGACGAGGAATTTGGAAATATAGTCTTTAATCCTTAAGTTAAAACTGCTTGAAGTGTGTTAGAAACATCTCTTCAATCTCCTGGCACCAAATGGTCCAGTGATCTCATCTGCTATATTGTTGCAGGAGAAATTTATTTCCCTTGATATAAGTTTCCATTCTTCTTTATTGTTTTTGGTACCTTTTACAGATTGATTTAGACTGTTTTTACTTCATGTCTGGTTAATATTAAACTGACCTCTTTATAAACCTATTGTGTTGACAGAACAATGGCATTTTGATTGAGCAATCGACAAACCTTTGGCATTTGAATAACTTGACCAAATTCACCCCTTTTACAGCTTGAATTCAGCTCTTCTGAGCCACAAATTTAAGTTGGACTTTTCCTTCCGCTTAGTTTTTAGAATAATAATCCTTGCATTTGATGTAGCACTTTATCATATCATTGTTTCCAAAAAGTTACACAGCTTATTTGTAAGGCTTAGTGACTTCATTTGTAGTCAAATACGGCAGTCAATTTGTTCTATGTCCCACACACAGCCATGAATTGAATGATCATTTTTTGTTATTTGGGAGATTATTGGCCAGGACACTGGGAGAAGGTCCCTTCTCTTGTTGAATATTGCCATGGAGTGTGGATTTTGAAGTAGATTTTAAAATGGTATTTTTTTCAGATGTGCCATCAGTTGCCATTACAGTTGTGAAGACTGACCAAGATAATTTACAGCTGAAATGTAATGCAGATGCTAATCCTCCATCTACAGGAATCAGATGGACAAGGTGAGGAAATGTCTCTGTTATAGTGACTGGGCTTATTTTTGGTCATCTTGATGTTTGTCACATATGGAAACCTATCACCATGCTTAACAGTATCCGAATCAGAGTTCCAATTATGAATGCCACTTACAAATGGAAAGTTTTGAAATTGCCTTTACACTTATAAGCACCGAGCTCAAATTCAGTGCCGACTGAGAAAATTGAACTTTTCTGTCTCTGCTGACTAGAAGAGCACCAGTGACACTGACCTGTGTCCATTTCCAAGGGAAATTAAAATGATAACAATCCTTGCATTTCATATAGCGCTTCATCACGTATTCAAGATGTCTCAAAGTGCTTCACAGAATATAGTGTAAAGTGAATTGACTGGAAACAATAGAGCCTCACTAATCCGGTCACTCAAGTGGCTGGTATAAGTGGCCTACTTAGTGAGGTGACCTGACGACTGAAACAGGCCGGGTGATTCAGGTCATTGATGTAATGTTAAGGGCATTGGTAATGGGCAAAGGTGATAAACATTCAACAACCTTACTTTGCAATTTCATTAAACTAAAGGCATTGTCACATTTAAAACAGATCTTAGGTTTCATTATTTAAAGTTCACACAAGAGGTTAAAATCACACAACATGTTCATTTCTTGAAGAAAGAGTCCAGCATTGTTTGCCTGGCTGCTGATTAACCTGCACTGCCTTGGCCAGCAGCTGACCCCTCAGCCTGAGCCAAAGTCTGCCACGAGTCAAGTCCATGATCAAGGCAAAAGTCCTTCACTTGTCCCAACAAACCCAGTGCATCATCATAAGTGAGAGGGTTCTTTGATGTTGTTGGTTGCCCTTCCCGTTCGTTCTCCTGTTCCTTAGTGTCCCTGGTTCCTGCTAGAAACTCCTCCAATGGACATTACTGCCATCCCTCATTCAAGTCCTCAGTGGAGGGCACATCACTGCCAATGGCTACATTATCCTCGGCACTGAGGATAGGGTTGTCCAGTGACAGGCACTGACTGGCCTGAGCCAACAAATGGGCACATCATCATCAGGGTCCTCCACCACAGGCTCATCCACACTAAAGCCAGCCTTGGCAAAATACTTCTCTACTATTGATCTACGCACCATGTTGACTGCTGAATCAATCCAGATGACTGCATGAAGAACATTGATGGATTGCTTCCCACCAGAGCCCTGAAAACAACACCAGATTCATCCATGTTTAATATGTCCTTGGGTGCACAACCAACTGTAATCATAGGGAATTTATCCATCCAGTTGTTAACAGCACAGGCTCAATGTCACCCTTTTCCCCAGACACAATTGCAGACCCAATGTTGTGTCTGGACTTGAAATGGACAAGCCAGCCATTTGATGCCTTGAAACCAGTCTGGCCAAGTGATGCTGCAAAGCTGAGTGTTTTCTCCTGTACCATAGGGCCAGACACAGGCATGTTGAGACCACGGGCACGCTGGAACCACTCCCATGTAGGTTTATGAATGTCCTCAAACTGAAAGTTCAAACACACACATTTTCTATCAGTCTGTTGATTGTCTTCAAAAGCTGTGATGTATTCAGCCTTCCTTTTCAGAATGCATCCAACTTGTGTTCCACCAATGCCATAGATAACAGCAAACTGTCTATGACTTTTGCCCTCACTATTTTTGATTAAGTCCACTCCCTCACGCGAGGACAACTCCATCTGTGGTGACATGTTTACATCACTTGCCAAGAATTGGCCGCAGGAGCTCAGGATAGGTCGTGGGCGCGGGCGAAGTCGAATTCCTGCTTGCGGCGCTTCCGCGATCCCAACATTCCCCGAGCATGTGTGACCGGAGCTCACTCCGCACTCAGTAACAGCGTCAAGCAAACAGCACGTGCGGCCCGAGCCTAGTAGCGGAGGTGGGTGTTTATACCACGTTTGTGCAGGACGAGGGCGCTTGTAGCGGCCACAATCAATGATCGTTGTCCTGAATAGTGAGGTGCTGGTTAACTGAAGCAGACAGCCTATCGTGTAATATAGACCATGAAAGAGAGTGTTAAAATGTGCCCGTAATTGCGAGGTGGCTGATTAACGAGGAGACAGCAAATCGGGTTTATACTGTATTTTGTGGGAGAAACGCAGCAACTAATTCTGCAAGCAATGTCAAACAAACAGTCAAGTGACCAATTTATGATAATTGTTTTTTTTGAAGGAATTATTACCCCCGGAAATGTGATCCACCAATCGACTAACAACTGGGTTCCTACTTACTGCTCGGTAAACAGAGGTGTGTGGAGTGAGGAAACTGCCAGGAATTGAACCCAGGTCTCTCATTTAGGAGGCAAATGCTCTAACCACTGAGTTACAGGACTGCAATAGTTGGAAAACACAATTGGCCATAGTTCAGGAATATTTGGTGCACTTTACCTGGTTCACATATGTTGATGTTGGGTGAATACAAAACTGAGTTTGGCTGTGATGTTCCCAATGGTTGAACACATTTAAATATTAGCCACTTGAGTGAGGTACCGGAGGGAGCCCTGTGGACAAGATCCCACAGAGAAGGAAAATTAATCAACACCTTCCGGAAGATAACAAAAGCTATGTGGTAAAGGTGAACTAAACGGGATGTGCTTCTTTAAGATTTGAAACTATTTCTCTTTTTCATAGAATGAATGATACAAACCCAATATTCAACAAAGTACAAGACGATAGCATGCTGAAGGTGCCTATTTTGACTTCTGACAATAACAGGCTCTACATGTGTGAAACCAGCAACATAATCGGCTCTGCTAAAAGTTCAATATATCTGCATCAATGTAAGTATGTTTTAGTATAATTCATTCTGTACATTCAGATTCTTTTTTTAAAATTGAACATCTTTCAAGTTTTAGATTTATAGCTGTGAAATTAAAGTTCCAAATCATTCCTCCCCCATTCATAGCTGTAACAATTCATGAGGAAATTTTGTGGCATTTCAAAACCAGCACTGATGCTATTGCCCACTTCCCGGTCTGTGGTATCTTTTTCAGATTCAACCACCTGAGCAGTTTTCATTTTCATCACCCATATAATCCTAGAATTATACAATACAGAAGGAAGCCATTAAGCCCATCATGTCCGTGTCAGCTCTTTGAAAGCTGTCCAAATTAGTCCCACTCCCCCACTCTCTCCCCATAGCCTATAAATTTGTCCTCCCCAAATATCTATCTACTTCTCTCTTGAAACTTGTTATCGAATTGGCTTCCACCACCCTTTCAGGCAATGCATTCCAGATCCAAACAACTATAGCGTCTTCTCTAAGCTTTTTGTGTAATATTTGTTTTCATGGTTGATCTTCCAAGAAAGCCATGTTCTCCTGGCCACGTACTAACATTGTAGGGATCAATAGGCCTTGCCTGGCCGAGCAGAGAGCACGGTTCTCATTCCTCCTCTGCAGATCAACACTGAAAAATAAGTGATCCACAAAAACCTAACTTGGATTTATAATATACAAAACCATAACTTCTCCTCTCAAAATGAAAATAAATAGACACTGGAAAAGGAGGAGGAAGAAATCACTTAATTGGAAGTATGTGCTGCCACTTCATACTAGCCTTAGTTATGTTTCACTTAAAACTAGACTGCATTGTTAGATTCTGATCACCAATCTCACAATATACGAAAGAATGTTGTTGACTGTATAAAAGACAAAAAAGGTTCCTACTTTTTTTTTTAATTGAACAAGTGTTCTTCACCAATTATTGCTCCTGCTTACATTCATCATTCCAATTATGACCATGAAGCACTGGGCTATATAGGCCCGACTCTAAATCAATAAAAATGTAATAACCATCAACTATATCAATATCTGCACTTTGTCATTCTATAAGACACAAATAGAAAACAACTGACTTTACTGCAGTGTATTTCATGGAGTTTTTGGAATGTCTAGATTGGGATAGAGAGTCTGGGATAAATTGTGGTAACATGGGGGTTGAATAAATATTCTTTGCTTGGTTGCCTTAAAAATTCTTTTGAATCAGTTGCGATAGAAACATAATTTAGGAAACTTATCACCTATAGTGTTTTTGAAAGCAGAGCTAGGAACTGAATGGAAAACATTTCAAATCTGATTTTCAGAATTGAATTGAAAGTAACTGTTTAGAATGTGTGTGAATATATAGGGTTATAAAATTCACAAGCAAAGTTTATCAATTGACAAATCTTTTGAAATGTTTTTATTTCAGGTGAACCCCAACAACGGCTACACATTATAGTTTACATTATAATTGTGCTCCTTGTTACTGTAATAGCTGCTCTCAGCTTTCTTCTTATCCGTAAGAAAATTGCATCAAGAAGCAATGAAGTACGGTTGAATATGTACTTATGAATGCAACAATTTTACACATCGAATCTCTTAACAAAGTTGGAATTTTTCTGGTGAAAGCCTAATCAATGCAAATGTAATAACTCTTCTCGCAAGAAACTAACAAAAGCGTTATACGTTTTGAAAATATTAATAATATTTTATATAAATACAATATAAAGCAGGAAAAGAAACAAGGACATGAAAGGGACAGAGTATAAAATTAGGAATTTTGATTTTGATGGAGAATGATGAATGTATATTCCTTTTTCTCCAACCCAATAAAAAAACAGTCTATTTAATACGCATGTCTCTGACTCCCATCGTAATGCACTTGCCTCTAACTATTAAATTCTGTTGCTGCTCACCTTAGTTAACTGAGCCAGAGGGTAAACATGTTGTGCTTGGCTCCTATCTCTACTGGCTATGTTATGGTTTAAATTTAATTTGAGTGCTCTTCTGCATTGTTCGCTTATTACAGACAATATTTATTGGGAACCTCTTCTGGGCAAATCCAAAGTATCATTCCCTCTCCTGTCTCGTTACTTACATCAGGTTTCGAAATTTCAATTAAAATAATTATTATTATTCGATTAAAATACTCCTGATTCAAATAAAATGAAATCAGTGTTTAATCCAACAAGTCTATTTATTTATATTCTTCACACATCTTAATCTAAGAACATTTGAAAGCCTTTACAAATTGTAACATTCTTCTAAATTCTGCCTATCACTATTACTGTGTAGCAGCACAGCATAATCAGACTAGTGTTGTTGGGTATCTCTGCCACTAGAGGGTCACATCGTGGAACGTGAAATTACCAAAACCTCTGACTTCTTTCGCATTGCTTTTAAATGAACAAATGGGCCTCCATATATAGCTCTTGTGATCTTATGCCTGACTGTGCAAGTGTTTGATGCTGTCATGGATATTGTGAAAATCGAATCCCCCAAGAATTCGCATTGCATCATTGCAAACATGAGGTGTTTGTTGACGTTGACATATCAAAAGTCCCACTGAGATCCATACTGTTACTTGCATTTGGCATAAAATGACATTAAGTTTTGTGACTCAATTTATATTATTTTTGTACCAGTTTAGAATGTGACCTTATTCCTTATTGAAGCCCTCCTACTTTTCAAAATAGAAACATCCTTGTTTTCCCTCTCTAAACAACAACTTGCATTTATGTAGAGCCCCCCAACACATATGCTCCTTGCAGTGCCAGAATATAGTCAGTTCACTTTACAGTATATTCTGTGAAGCACTTTGGGACGTCGAGAAGACTTGAAAAGCGCTATATCAAATGCAAGGATTATTATTATTATTAAGGCCTTTCCGATGAGGTATAAATCATGTCTCTACATCAATCGGTTATTACGTGATTGACAAACAGACAGACAGACATTGTCGTTTTATTAGTATATAAGATGAAATGTCTGTATGTGTGTCTGTCTGTCAATCTACATTCCATATTGGATCCTTTGGTTGCAAGCGTAGCTGCAACAGGTACAGCTAGTATATTATAAAGTGTAGTGACTGTGTGTTTTGTGGGAGAGACAGAGACAAGGCCAGTCAGCCAGCACAGCTACCAGCTGTAAACGCAATGCATGCGTACGTACGTACTCTGTCACGCATGATGCCACAGCGCTACTGTGACTCGGTGGCCATGAGGTGTAACTCCAATGAAAAACACAAAAGTGAAATTAATCCATGAATGACGGAAATATACAAATATGCAATCAATTCACTTTACAGTCTATTCTGTGAAGCACTTTGAGATGTCGAGAAGATGTGAAAAGCACTATATCAAATGCAAGGATTATTATATTATATTATAAGATATCCGAAATATGCCTATGTCACTCCCAGGTGCAATGAGGTATAAGTCATGTCACTATCATTGGTTAGTGAGATCCTTCTTGAAGCGCAGACAGACATTGTCATTTTATTTGTATACATACATATCTCCCCCTTGGCCCCAGCTCAGGTCTGAAATGCTGTACACTGTCCAGTGCCTTGGGACGTCCTCTCAATGTGAAAGGCGCTATACAAATGTAATCTTGTTGTTGTAGCGCTCGTCACGTCTTCTCGACATCTCAAAGCGCTTCACAGAATATACTGTAAAGTGAATTGACTGTATATTTGTGGTGGAAATGCAGCAGCCAATTGCGCACAGCAATGTCCCAGAAACAGTCGTGGATTGAAGTGACCAATTTATCATTGTTTTTTTTCTTGAGGGATTATTATCAGGCGTGTGGAGTAAGGAAACTTGCCCAAAGTCTCCGCCTGCCAGGAATCAAACCCAGGTCTCTTGCTTGCGAGGCGAGTGCTCCAACCACTGAGCTATAGGACTCCACAAAGCACATTATAACTCATCTTAACTCTGTTCACCCTCCGATTTCATGTGACTGTGAACAAAGGACAAAGCCAAGCATTGCGGTCCATCAATTGAATTCTACAGCTCCCTAAAGCTTCAAGGTAATTAACAAAATCCACATGAAATCTATCGTTAAGGCGGAGAGAAGATGCTCCGGTGTTCAGCTTTGGCCTTTCTTTACAGTCACATGAAATCAAAGGGCGAAGAGAGTTAACATGAATAATAAAGTGCTTTCTCAACATTGTTTTAAAATGTTTGCAAACAAATAAAAACGGGCAATGACCCAAGTGCAGAAAAGTCAAACTCAATTGTGTGTACAACATGTTTAATTGTGTGTCCAATTGAATTGTACTAAAATTACAAAGCTATTTAAAGCGGATGAGAAATTTACGGGATTTCCACAATGTGATCATTTTAAAATAAATTTTACAATTGTTTCACAACATAGAACATGTTGGCGGAACATGTTCGCCATCAAACAGCTTTCAGGTCTCAGGGTAAAATAGTGTGGAATCTTCTTTCCCGTCCGATCAGTTCACATAATTCAGGATCTGACTTCAAATAAACATTCGGCGTTGAGAGGTCCACAGCGGAAAGAGCGTCATTCGCAACACTGAGATGTCGGACATGGAAGTCATTTCCGGACCTGGAAAAATGGGTCTCCGTTAGAGCCGCAGATATATGGCGGAGCTGGAAGATGTGCTGCAGTTTGTGGGCAGAGACCCTCACGGTGTTGGTCAGTCTGACGCTCAGAGCCGCTTCAGGTAAGAGGACAACTGCGCTCTGGTCAGTGACTGTGGCGGTGGCGGTGTTGGGGACAGAGAGCAGCGCATTGTATACACAGCTCTCACTCGCTCCGCTGCTGCACTGTATTCACTCCAACATCCCCCAAACCTCACACGTCAGCACAGATACCGCACAATGACAATAATACTAATATAATAACATAATAATAAGTACAAGTGTCCTTCATGTCGGGAGAGTCGCTGACAATCTTCTCATTCGCTGTAGAAAGAGACGCTTTTCCACAGCGACCAACACAGCGACTTGACCGTAATCGCTCATTTTTTAATTCGATTTTTTTTCAAACGAAAATGTTTGTGAGATGTCCTCTCTGCCTCAACGATGGATTTCATGTAGATTTTGTTAATTATGTTGAACCTTTATGGAGCTGCACAGTTCAGTCCATGGATTCGCATGATCGGCTTTGTCCTTTGTTTACAGTCACATGAAGTCAGTCGGTGAACAGAGTTAAGATGAATAATAAATAATAATAATAATCCTTGCATTTGATATAGCGCTTTTCACGTTGGGAGGACGTCCCAAAGCGCTTCACAGGACACACTGTAAAGTGAATAGACTGTATATTTGTGGGCGAACGCGGCAGCCAATTGCCCACAGCAATGTCCCACAAACAGTCATGGATTGAAAATGACCAATTTATTATTGTTTTGTTTTTTTGGAGGGATTATTATAAGTGCTTTCTAACATTGCATAAAAATGGTTGCAAGCAAATAAAAACGGGCAATGTGACCCAGTGCAGAATAATCAGATTTAATTGTACGAAATGTTTAATTGGACCAAATTTAATTGTGCTAAAATTACAAATTTAAGCTTACAATAAATTGAAGGGATTTCCACAATGTAAGAGAATCATTTTTAGATAGAATTTCACAATTGTTGTTAACTTACAGAGAGATTTACAGCACATAAACCCAACGTTGGTTGCGTGCTTGGCTGTTTTACAACTATTTCCCTGCCAACATCAAGGCTCAGCTACAACAAATAGTGTTCCTTTTCGCTGGACTGCCAGTTCCTCCCTACACAAGCGCAGAATATCCATAACTCTGCAGCCCGCATTCACTCCTACTCCAGGCTCTGCTTGTATATTACCCCCCACCCTACCCACCCTACTGTTTACAAACATTGAAGCTATCTCGCACAACCTACATTTATTTGTTGTTCTCTTTGACCGAGCCGAGCCTTCAGCTCCCCTCTCGACTCTCTTCCCCCTTCTCGCTCCCTCCCATCCCTCCCCTCACCCTGACCATTTCCCCCCTCCTCGCTCCCTCCCTTCCCTCCCCTCACCCTGACCATTTCCCCCCTCCTCGCTCCCTCCCTTCCCTCCCCTGACCATTTCCCCCCTGCTCGGGTCATGACCCAACTGTGCAGCGCCTTGGGACGTCCTCCTGACGTGAAAGGCGCTTTATAAATGGAATCTTGTTGTTGTTGTTGGAGGTGATACAAACATTGTATTTCCTAAATATTGTAGAAAATGATAATGTAGTAGAAAATAATAATCGATTGGCGCTTTCCAGGGGATACTAATCCATTCAAAAATAAATGATGATAATAGGTTTAAAGTGTTTGGGGTAAATTGTTCTTTACATAAGCTTATGCATATTGTATGTGTATGTATTACTCTTGTTAAATTTTGTTAAATAGAAATTATATAGTTGTAGATATATTAGTATAGTATTTTAACCTTTCCTTTTACATTTTGTTAAAATTAGTATTCTGTTTTTGTATGTATTTTAGTATGGTAGAAGTTTTCTAACAGTATTAATGGTGCACTCTATTTAAATGGCAAGTCTGTTTAGGAAAACGTTTTGTTTCTTTGATGTAAAACAGTCTTTCTTCTGCCATGTTTCAAGTCAGCATGTTTTGACGAGTGAAGTGATTGATACATGTTATCCTTCTTTGGTTTTCCATGTTTATGAGCAGAAAAGAATGTCACACATTTAGTATAATAATAACAAGCATATCTATAACAATTTTTCAATGTTTTCTATGATCACCATAGCACTCATCCTGTCAGTGAATTTTCTACTTTTTCTTTGTTATCTTGTCCATTTCCTTCAGTGTTTCTTTTCGCCTTTCTTTCATGGCTTCTGGTACACTTCGGAGGGGCTGTATCACAGATTTTACAGTTTCTTTACTCTGCTTTCATTAATCCTCTCTTTCCCCAAAATTTTTGTATTTTTCCAGTATTTGCTCACTTTGTAGTTGTTTACTTTTCTTATTCACATTTTTAATTTTTTTAAGTAGTCCAATTTTAATTAGATCTTGAATTCCAATCAAAAGTTCTGTCCTAAATTTTTACCATGTAAACAATAATAATTTGGTCACTCAATCCACGACTGTTTGTGGGACACTGTTGTGTTGCTGCATTTAGCCACAAAATATACAGTCAATTACTTTACAGTGTATTCTGTGAAGCCCTTTGAGACATCTAGAAGAAGTGAAAAGTGCTGTATCAACTGCAAGGACTAATATTATTTTATGTAAGCTTTTGTACAATTTGCTTTTGTGCGTTTTTTCTGTCTACTCTGCCTATTATCTCAATTTCCCTTTTGTTATATGCCATTAGTATTTTTTTCCCCATTCTCATCTCAGCCTTTCCTGGTTCTCTCAGATTTAGATATTCTTCCAAAGATATGACACTTGTGCTGTTAATTAGCATTTTATGTATTTTGCCCCCTTGGTGCACCATAAAGATGCCACTTATTGTTTCTCCTTCCTTTCTTCTGTGTTTGTATTCTTTGCATCATAGATGTAATACTCCATTTCACCAACACTGGATTCTACATAATAATAATAGAATAATAATAAATCCAACCTGTCCATCCTTTGATTGGAGCTCAATTGCACTTGCGCTATCCTGGTTCTCAGATATATTTTCCTTGTGTATTCCTTACTCTCTGGTCTCCTTCTGTCCTTTGATCTCTTTTGATCTCCATCCAGTTTTCCTCTCTGGCCCTCGTTGTCTATTTCTGCATTTCCTTGCATCTATTGCAAATATAGTCTTCCTTCTACTGGGAATCACCTGAAAGGATGTGCTAATCCGCATTTCTCATATGCTTAATTTTGATCAGACATCCGTTTTGGCCTGCATATTTGCTAAACTCCATACTACTCATCCGAATTATTCCAACTTGTTTTCTGAGCCTGTTTCCATATCTTGTTTTTCCTCTTTCTCGATTTCCTATATGTGCATTTTCTGACATTTTTTCCACATTATTTATTTGTATTGTAGTCTCCAAACAAGTATTTTTGTTCAATAGCTAACTATGTATTTTGTTACCTCTAAATCCTATCACTGTTTGATCTGCAATTACTTCTTCTCACATAACTTGCTTAACAATCTGAGTACTGCAAAGTATTGTGTGAATTGTCCCATTGCTCGTTGTTTTTGCATGCCAAATTTGTAACTCTCAATAGTCACATTGTTTTGTCCAAGACACCACACCCCACCATAATATTCATCATATGCTCTGAAGGCAATTTAATCTTCTCTCTCTGGATTCTCAAACTATATCCTGCCACATTTAAGAATATAGCATTTTGCTGCCTTTGAGGTTATAATAGGAAATTTGTACTTTCGCAAATATCCAGAAATCCCACTCAAATCAATTATGTCTCAATTTCCCACCAGCTTCAATGGTTATGGCATTTGGACATACCTCAATATATAATCTGACTCCATTGCTCCAGATTGCATTTTGCTGATTTTAATGTCCCCAATCTCTTTTCCAGTCCACATTCAGTTTTCTTCTAACAACATAGAATTAAAAAGTACACCAAATTACTTGTGTTTTATTTAATTTATTTGACTCTGTACAAAGCCCTCCAAACCCACAACAATAATCAGATGCTTTGTTTGTATCTTTATCATTTTCTACTTCCTGACTCCCTTCTATTAGTTGTCCATTAATTTGCCTTCATCTTAAAATGATCTTTCTATAAAGTTTATTCACAGTTTACCCTGATTATTTAGGCATAAACGATCAAGCTCACGCCAACTTTTTTTACACGCGTGCATTTTTATTTACAGAGGCCATTGTTATAATCTTTATATATATATAGCAAGCATAGCCAAGACACCAATAAATCCTAGAATATCTAATATAAAATGTCCCCTAAACTAGGAGATAGAAATTGATGTGAGGTGGAATTGCTTCATGCAGAGGATCATGAGATTGTGGAACTCACTACCTAAAGGGGTGGTTGAATCAGATAGTTAAGATAGTGGAGTCCTGTAGCTCAGTGGTTAGAGCACTCGCTTTGCAAGCGAGAGACCTGAGTTCAATTCCAGGCAGAGGGCGAAACCTTGGGCAAGTTTCCTTACTCCACACAGAGCCTAATAATAATCCCTCCAAAAACCCAAAACAATAATAAATTGGTCATTTTCAATCTACGACTGTTTGTGGGACATTGTTGTGCGCAATTGGCTGCCGCGTTTGCCCACAAATATACAGTCAATTCACTTTACAGTGTGTTCCGTGAAGCGCTTTGGGACGTCCTCCCTACGTGAAAAGCGCTATATCAAATGCAAGGATTATTATTATTATTTATACATTCAAGATTAAGGCCAATGTTGGGCAAGATTCCTTACTCCACACGCTTCTGTTTACCTAGCAATAAATAGGAACCCGGTTGTTAGTCAATTGGCGTATCACTTTTCTTGGGATAATAATTCCTTCAAAAAAAATTTCACAATAATAAATTGGTCACATCAATCTGCAACTGTTTGTGGTGCACTGCTGTGTGCATTGGCTGCTACGTTTCGCCCACAAAATATACAGTCAATTCACTTGGAAGTATATTCTGTTAAGCGCTTTGGGATGTCTCAAAGATGTGATAAGGCGCTATATCAAATGAAAGGACTATTATTTTTTTTAAGATAGACCTTCACATGAGGGAAAGCTGTATGGGAGGGAGTTGTGGTGGCCAACATTTTTTGTCGAGCAACAAAGAAAATTTTCTAGATTGAATATTTCTTGATTGTATAATAAATTGTGCACCCACGCACACAAAGATTCGCTCCTTCCTATTTGCTCCCACACTAGATCCTTCCCACTCTCCCTTTCGCTCTCACTCCTAACCCTTGCTCACTCTGATTCCCATCCCTAGACACAGTCATGTCACTTTCCAAAGATTTAACAAGAAGAAAGTTCAATGTCCCCATATTAAATCATTGCACATATCGTACATGCAACAACAACAAGATTCCATTTATAAAGCGCCTTTCACGTCGGAAGGACGCAAGTATGGTATGAGGTGAAGAAATTTATTTTGAGTTCATGAAACCTACAAAATTGATATCCCTGTATTGAATTGAGAAGATTTTTTTATAATAACAATCCTTGAATTTGATGCCTTCGAGACGTCTCAAAGTGCTTCACGGAATATACTGTAAAGTGTAGGGATTGCGTATTTTATTGGCAAAACACGGAATCCAATTATGCAAAGTGCAAGCTGGATCCTTCTACTCATGACATTCAAGTGTGAATAGAATTCCACCACACCTATTTCCCAGTAAAACTCACATAAGTGGTATCAGTCAGGACCGTAACATTTCATGTAATTTACACAAATTCAAGCTGCAGGCTTGAGATAAGAATTATTGAATAATCTATACTGTGCTGAACAGGGCATGGAGGGGAAAGATAATGTAACAAATTCATTGATCATCAACATTGAAATAGCCACAACTTTTACAGGTGCTTTCATATTAGATAAACATCTCAAAGTATTTTACATAGATAGTAGGACTGTCATGGACAGTAGAACATTACAAAGAAAGATAAAAAAGAGATGTAGGAGGAATTTGACCAAAAGCAGTCTCTTAAAGACCAAAACAAGATCTGCAACTCTCCTCTGAACTGCATCTCCTGACCAGCTCAATGCTGTGACTGTCCAAACCGGGCAGATCCAAACCCGGAGTTAGATCTTTTTCTGCCTTTCTCGCAATGTTGACTCCTTTGTTCTAGAATCTAATCAACAGAGGACTGCTAAAGCTAGGAACTCAAGTTACAATTTAGATAAGGGCAAGTATTCTCAGCAAATCTTAAACAACAACAACAAAAACTTGGATTTATATAGCGCCCTCCACGCCGGACAGCGTCTCAGAGAGCTTCACAGTAACAGATCCCAGGACTGAGCCAGGGGGAGGGGGAAGAAGGTGACCAAAGGCGCGGTCGAAAAGAAAGGTCTTCATCAGAGACCTGAAAATAGGAAGGTAGGGAGCAAGGCGAAGGGAGTTCCAGAGCCTCGGGGCACAGTGGCTGAAGGCACGACTGCCGAGGGTGGGGCGGAGGACTCGGGGGACGAGGAGGAGGCTAGGAGACCATTTGGCCAATTAAAATTAGAGCTAGGAGACCATTTGGCCAATTGAAGATAAGATAGGTGCAAGATCATGCTCTGAGCTCGCGACTTGAATCCAAATTCCCTCTTCCTCCAAAAGCAGCTTTTTATTGTCTTCATTTCCAACTTATGACGGAAAATGTCTCTTATGATGCAATATGGGCCTGCTTCTATCTCAGCTCCAATCAGCTCTCTGGATGGACCTGAACTCTCACAAATTCTTCCACCTCCAATGCATTGCCCGTCTCCACCAATACCTTTCTCTGAAAGCTGCTGAAACCCTGGTCCATGCCTTTGTCACCTCTCGGCTGGACTATTCAAACGACCTCCTCACCAACCTCCCCTCCACTACCATCCATAAAATTCAGATCATTCAAAATTCTGCCGTCCGCATTCTCATCCGTACCAAACTCCACTCTCCGATTACCCCAGTCCTTGTCAGACTGCACTGGCTGTCTGTCCCAGAGAGGATCGACTTCAAGATCCTCACCCTTGTCTTCAAATCCCTCCACTCCTCTGCACTCCCCTACCTCTCTGACCTCCTCTCTCCTCAAAACAGTGCACGTTGCTTTCGTTCCTCCGGGTCTGGCCTCCTCCAAGTCCTCCGCTCCACCCTCGGCAGCTGTGCCTTCAGCCACTATGCCCCGAGGCTCTGGAACTGCCTCACTCCCTTCGCCTCGCCCCCTCTCTTCCTATTTTCAGGTCTCTGCTGAAGACCTTTCTTTTCGACCGCGCCTTTGGTCACCTTCCTCCCCCTCCCCCTGGCTCGGTCCTGGGATCCGTTACTGTGAAGCGCTCTGAGATGCCATCCGGCGTGGAGGGTGCAATATAAATCCAAGTTGTTGTTGTTGTAATGTTCATACAGTTATCTGAAGTACACATGTTTGTCATTTTCCGGACACAGGACACTGGGCTGAGGCACTTGATCTCATTCAAAGTTATTAGTGTGTTTTTCAGTTGGAAAACTAAGTATGTGTTTTCTTGGCAAGGATCGCAAGAACCGTTTGTGTGAAGAAAGCCCTATATATGAGAAGCAAATGTGTATTGATAGTTTTCTAATAGTTTGTCTTCGGCTTTCAGTGTATTTAAGTTTGTATCCTTGATCAAAACTTTTATTTGCCTCTCAATTTGTGTAGTCCATTTCTGAGTTGTTCAGTTGTTCAAAAATTATATTTCTTTTAGCAACCAAGATAAACATACGAATTCTACTCCCCCCCCCCCCCCCCCCCCCCACCAACAATATATTTACAGCAAAGGTGGGAAGTTTGCCTGAGAGTGGAGACTGAAAAGTATTTAGGAGTTGGAATTGACCAGTGTTTTAATGGAAATCAGAACAGGATTCCAATGATTGTTGCTGTAAAAATAAAACACAAGACTGCAGTCCACTTCCTCGAACAAAAGAAGTCCAAACTATCTGATCTTGTGCTGTGCTCTGGATCAAAAAAAATCCAGGACTGTCAATTCGATTCAGTGCAGATGAATGTAAGATAATGTACATTGCAACAGGAAACTGTAATGTGTGCATTAGCAGAGTTAGAGACGATTGTTGTTTACAGTTCACTGAAGGTTTCGAAATTGGACAAAGCAGTTATGAACGAATCTAGGATACAGATCAAGGGCATCATGATACGTCATGAGAAGTTATCCATCTTCAGACTATTGTGTGCAGTATTTTGCACCTTTTAAAGTGAACGTGTAACCACAATAATTCTGGGACTTTGAGCATTAAAAGTTATGATTTTCTCAGAGATATTCATCTTCGTTGGATAAAAGGTGGGAATTAGGAGGAATTATGTCCAGCCTGTCTCACATACACATAGGCTGTCCCTTCCTTCCTTTCTGCCACTCTCCATCTCCCTGCCTCCTAAAACAGGTTTTTGACAACACTTTTGTCCAACATTCTTTATTCTCCTTCCTTTCACCTTAAATTATTTCACTCCATCGTGTTAAGCATTTCAGAATGTTTGTGTTGTTGCTCCTTCCAGTTTATCTCTCTCCTCCCACCTCCTCCTTGCCTCTCTCTCATTCGCAGACTGCTCCACTTTATCTCCTCCCCCCTCCCTGTCACCAACACCTCTTTCTCAAATTGCATCTTCCTTGCTTGCTCATAGACCCTTAAATATCACTCACTCGCAGGTAGCCTCTCCCTCGTTCCTTGGGTTTGATTCTCACCAATTTTTAAACCTTGTACAAAACTACATTAATCTTTCTGAACTTCATTACAGATTGGTTTGTCACCAAGTAATATTTTTGTTTTGTTTATTTAGATTCAATAACAACAAATGGTGGGAGCTTAATCCGTGACCTGGGTGATGATACGCAGCTGGTTTGTCATGTCAACACAAAACAGGTTGTTTCACAACTCACCTGGCAACGAAAGAGAGATGAACAATTTATCAACTTTTTCATCATTGTTTTCTCAAATGGGCGGAATCAACACTTTGATGACAATTTTGGTGGCAGAATGAGTTTCGTTGGACAAGGAGAAAGGAATGGAACAATGGAATTGAAAAATATTACGCTAAATGATGACGGAATTTACAAATGCATTTTCACCTTATTCCCACATGGTCTTCTGCAGGAAACGTTAAGTTTAAGCGTAAGAGGTATGGAAAGTGTATCACTCATTTACAATTACTGTCAGACACTCTCCTGATCAATATTTACAATAGTTACAATATTTTATTGGACAAATAAAATTGCAGATCTTCTTCATTCATGTTTTGATTTACAATAACATTGACGAGCTAATCAGATTCATCAAAAAGGAACTAGTTAAGTCTCTGTTTGCAGGTGGGATAAGAGCTGATAGAAATTCACCTTGAATGAGATGGTCAAATAATCCAGGGGATAGGAATGTGTTTGATAATAATAATCCTTACATTTTGTATAGCACCTTACTCGGAGGTGGACATTTTAAATTATCCATTAGTCTGTGTGTGCACGTTTTGTGATTTTTTTTTTGGTCAGGAGAGTGTCTGATACATGTGGAAACCCATCACTATTGGATAATAAGAGTATCCAATGCATCCATGCATCCCACCTACACATGGCAATCCCAGAGTTAGATTGTTGGAATGAAATGCGCACTCTTTCCCTGGAGGGACATTTGGTGAGAACAGGATCAGTCTGGTCTGGATGAGTCCTGAACATCAAGCCATGATGTGAAATGTACAGCATTAACCAAATACTTCTTCCATCAAGTCTTATATTGCCACTATAATACACCATTTTATACACAGTAATATCTTCTCTCTTTCTGTGGTCTCCCTAGATGTAGTAGCAGTCTTTTTCTCTTCACGCTCACATTGCCTTTCTTTCTCACTCTTTTTATATTTTGGTACTTAATATCTAATGCCAAGTGCAAAGAGGTCTTGGATTTCTTTATTTCCAAGATAGATAACATCCACCTAGTCACCTCCTCCTCCTGCCCCATGTCCCTCACCATCCCCATTCCTTCTCCTCACCCACTCCTCCTTCCATGGCTTTGATCATGGGCCCCATCCTACACTCCTTTGCCTCCATCTCTCCTTCCTCCCTCTCATCCTACATCACCCAGATTAAACCCACCACATGCTGCCTCGACCCATTCGCCACCCAGCTGCTGGTCACTCAACTCTCCCTCCTCTGCCCACTCCTGGCAGACACAATAAATCAGTTATTCTCCTCAGGCTCTGTCCCACTCAAAATGGCTATCACCATGCCCCTCCTGAAAAAAACTACCACTACCGTCCTAAAGCCCTGGAACACTTTACTGCAAACCAACTTCGCTCACACCTCATCCTCCACTCCCTACCCTAATCCCTCCAGTCCAGTTTTTGCCCAGCCCACAGCACACAGATAGTGCCGGTCAAAGTAACAAATGATGTCCTCTCTGTAACTAGGGCTCCCTCTGCCCCTTCGTCCTCCTAGACCTCTCCACCTTGTTCGACACAGTCAACCACGCCATCCGCCTCCACCGCCTCTCCTCCCTCATCCATCTTAGTGGGACTGCACTCGCATGGTTCGAGGCCTACTTAACCAACTGCCAGCACTTCACCTCAGCCAATGAATTTTCCTCTCGCCACCACCTGGTCACCTGCGGAGTATCCCAGGGCTCCATCCTTGGCCCCCTTCTTTTCCTCATCTACATGTTCCCTCTCTGCGATGTCATCCAAAAACATGGGGTTAATTTCCACATGTTTGCGGATGACATCCAAATCTATTTCTCCTCCAGCTGTGACTCCCAGTCCACTGATGTCCTGTCAGCTTGTTTGATGGACACCAAGGCCTGAATGAGCACAACTTTTCTGCAGCTGAATTTCGGCAAGATGGAAGCTATACTCTGGCTCCCACCAACATCTTCTCTCCTGTGGGTCTGAACTCCTCAACCTCCCCGTTCTCTCCCTCAGACTCTCTGAACCCATGCGCATCTTAGAATCAGATTGATCCCCAGCTTTCCTTTCTACCACACATCTGTTCCCTGACCAGCAACACTTTTTTCTACCTCTCGCATTGCCCACCTCCATTCGTACCTCACAACCAATGCAACTGAAACCTTGGTCCATGCCTTTGTCATTTTCAGGCAAGACTATTCCAATGCCCTCCCCACTGTCCTCTCCAGCTCCACTATACAGGAAATACAATTAATTCAAAACTCTACTAACTGGATACTCATCTGCACAAAACTCCATAGCCCTATCACACCAGCCTTTCATTTGCTCCCAATCACCAAACCGATTGATTTCAAGATCCTCTCACTTGTTTCCAAATACCTTCATGCCCTCACACCACCCTATCTATCCAATCTGTTTAGCCCCCCTCTCCACCACTCGCTGCCTCCGGTCGGCTGGCTCCAGCCTACTGTTCGTCCCTCGTGCCGTCTGTTTGTTTCACCATCAATGTCTGTGCCTTCAGCCACTATACCCTGAATCTCTGGAACTCTCTCCCTCAATCCCTCCACCTTGCCCCTGTCGCCCCACCTTCAAATCCTGCCTAAAGCCCTTCCTTTTTGATCGTGCTTACAGTCACTTCCCTCTCCACCTGGCTCATTGTCAGACTCCGCCGCTGTGAAGCTCTCCAGGATGCTACCCCACATGAAGGCGCTATTTAAGTTGTTGTTATCTCTCTGATCCAATCACCCCCGTCATCCCTGCGACCCTATCACCCCCATCCTTGCCCAACTCCACAAGCTTCCCATCACAGAGAGGACACATTTCAAGATCCTGTCCTCACCTTCAAAGCCCTCCACAGTCTTGCTCCACCTTAACTCTCCGACCTCCTAACCCCTACTACCCTGTTCGCTCCCTCCGCTCAGCGGGCTCCGGCCTGCTTCACGTTCCTCGCCTTGCTCGCCGCACTATTGGCAGGTGGGCCTTCCGCCACTCTGCACCCACCCTCTGGAACTCCCATCACGCAGTCCCTCCGTCTTGCCCCCTCACTAGTCACCTTCAAGTCCCACCTCAAGACCCTCATCTTCGACTGCGCTTTCGATCTCCCTGCTTCCCCCCCTGCCCTCTACCCTCCCCTACCCCGACCCCCAGCTTGGGTCCGTAACTATCTTTTCAGTGCCTTGGGATGTCCTCCCGACGTGAAAGGCACTAAATAAATGCAATTTTGGTGGTGGTGGTGGTGGTGTTGTTGATCCTTTTCATCTCTGCCTGACTCTCTCTTTCCATCTCAATTTGAATGCTGCTGTTGGTATGTTCTTGCTGGTGGAGATTAGCATTCGTATTTATTCACACAACTAAATTCCAGTAACAAGTGACACTTTTAGGAGTACTATATTAAGAATGTTTTTTTTCCTCTTTAGTTCCTCCCATTATTGTAATAGAACCGTATCCAGACATCCCTGTGGCTGACAGTGGAGAAAGCAACATAGCCACCTGTCTAGCAAAAAATGCCAAACCAGGAGCTACCATCAACTGGGAAAGTCCTTTTCATTTCAGTTTTACTCAGAGTGCCACACCTCCTGCTCCTAATGGGACTGTAACCGTCTCAAGCCCACTTCGTCTATCTCCAACTAGAGAGATGAATGGACAGCACGTTTACTGCGTAGTGGAACATCCAGCACTGAAGTCTCCTGAAATATTGGATTATAAGCTAAATATTCACTGTATGTATAACCATCTGTTGCTTTAATCGTTTACCATTCCTTTATACTCATCTTAGAGTTAAGGTAACATTCGTTGATGTTGTTGATGTTTCTGTTTGCTGCAAGTCTGTGATGATACATAAATTGGCATCAGTAACTGAAATCTAATGCTGGTGCTTTTCTATGTAATTATTTAATCATGTTAATATCTTGATGAACAATGTATTTCGGTTAATCAGGAAGTTGGGTAGCCCTGATAAAGAGACCAGGAAGTGAACTTCCTGCTGGTTCTTTAACAATCCTCTCTGAGTGATTGTTAGAAAGTTTACAAGGACAAATAGGTCATATTATTATTCGTTTTACATCCCCCCACACACACCCACACACACATATACCTTTTCACATTTATTCTTTTGGGTGTCTGTTGTTTTGCTCTTTTGCACACTACAATGTCATTTTGTTCATTTTGGACAAGGTGAGCAAATGTCACTTATTTCTACTGACTATAAGCATAATTCCAAGGAACATTTTTTTCGGTCAGGGTGTTTCTGACACTTGCAGAAACCCATGAACATGCTTTGGGGTACACAAACCATATGTACATAACCAAGATATTAATCATGTTAATATCTTGATGAACGATACTTTTATTGCTGTTGTTCAGGAAGATGGATAGCCCTGACTAAGAGAGCAGATATAGAACTTTCTGTTGTTTTGTGAACAGGAAGTGAACTTCCTGCTAGTTCTTTGGCATTCCTTCCCTCTGAGTGATTGTTAGGAATCTTACAAAGACAAATAGATTAAATTGTTCTTCATTATGGGTTCCCGTGCACACACACATACAACGTTTCACATTTTTTTGGGATGTCTGCTGCTTTGCTCTTTTGCACACAATAATGTCCCATAAGCCAGACAAAGCTCCATGCATTTGTGATAAAAAGGAATTGAACTGAGTGTTTTTTTTACCTATCAGCAATGTGTTTCTGCATAGTTAGCAGAAACTTGTTGGTTCCAAGGAGATGTACGTGTTTAATGACAGAAGGAAAATCTGGAAGAGAAGGTTCTGAGCTAACAAACCATCTCTCCCAGAACTGCCTAACGCTAGTTTATAATTTCAACAATTCAAAAAGGCTTCACACTTAATTTTCTGTCTAGTCTGAGTGTTTTGGATAAATGTGCAGTGATTCAAAATTGCTTTATTGCATGAGAGAAATATAGCATTAAGGGACAAAAATAGTTTCACTTGAGTATACTTGACAAAGAAATCTGGATTGTTTTGATTCAACCTTTTTACCCAGCAATTTGAGATTGTGCACGGACTCTTAACTCAGGTTTTCCTTTCCATTTATTTGTTTTGTGATATTTCCTATCTTTACTATTGTCCGAATATGTTTTTCATTAGTTGACATATTCAGCAGTCTTATTTCTGTTCGTCACTGTGATTTTTTTTATCTACTGATCAAAGGCAAATGTCACATTCCAACATTGAAATGTCATGAGAGATTCAGAGATCTATTCGTTGACTTTTCAAATATCCGACTATTTGTCTCAAGCCCCAATGTGAATCTTATTTTTGAAGGTTTGTCAGCTATCTGACATAGGCAGAAACCAAACACCAGAATGTATCCAACATCTGTGTTTGTTTAAACATTTTGTAAAAAAGCTCTTTCACGACCCCAAAAATGCACAAATATACAGTCACTACACTTTACAATAAATTCACTTTGAGTCGTTCTCTCGATGTTATATGAAAAGTAAGGATTTTTTAATTGCCCAACTGGACCCACCCCCACTACTCCGCTCTTTTGCACACAACAATGTCCCATAAACAGCCATGAAGTGAATGATCAGTTTTATTTGGCGGATTGTTGGCCAGGATATCAGGAGAAACGCCCTTCTCTTTTTGAATAGTGCCACCAGAATAGACTGCTCCTCAGTTTAATGTCTCATCTTAAGGATGGCACCTCCATCAATTCAGGACTCCCCCAACACTGTATTGGAGCGTCAGCCTAGACTATTTGAGTTCAAAGTCCCAACGTGGGCCTTGAATTCACAATATTCTGTCACAGAGGCAAGAGTACTTCCAACTAAGCCAAACTGATACCAATTTGCTCTTTTTCAGATATGAAATCGGTTACCATTACAGCTGTGAAGACTGAGCAAGAAAGCTTGCAGCTGAAATGTTTTGCAGATGCTAACCCTTCACCTATAACTTATACTTGGACAAAGTGAGCAAATGTCACTTATTTCTACTGACTATAAGCATAATTCCAAGGAACATTTTTTTTCGGTCAGGATGTTTCTGACACTTGCAGAAACTCATGAACATGCTTTGGAGTACACAAACCATATGTACATAACCAAGATATTAATCATGTTAATATCTTGATGAACAATACTTTTATTGCTGTTGTTCAGGAAGATGGGTAGCCCTGACTAAGAGAGCAGGTATAGAACTTCCTGTTGTTTTGTGAACAGGAAGTGAACTTCCTGCTAATTCTTTGGCATTCCTTCCCTCTGAGTGATTGTTAGTAATCTTACAAAGACAAATAGATTAAATTGTTCTTCATTATGGGTTCCCGTGCACACACACATACAACGTTTCACATTTTTTTTGGGATGTCTGCTGCTTTGCTCTTTTGCACACAATAATGTCCCATAAGCCAGACAAAGCTCCATGCATTTGTGGTAAAAAGGAATTGAAGTGGGTGTTTTTTTTACCTATCAGCAATGTGTTTCTGCATAGTTAGCAGAAACTTGTTGGTTCCAAGGAGATGTACGTGTTTAATGACAGAGGGAAAATCTGGAAGAGAAGGTTCTGAGCTAACAAACCATCTCTCCCAGAACTGCCTAACGCTAGTTTATAATTTCAACAATTCGAAAAGGCTTCACACTTAATTTTCTGTCTAGTCTGAATGTTTTGGATGAATGTACAGTGATTCAAAATTATTTTATTGCATGAGAGAAATATAGCATTAAGGGACAAAAATAGTTTCACTTGAGTATACTTGACAAAGAAATCTGGATTGTTTTGATTCAACCTTTTACCCAGCAATTGGAGATTGTGCACGGACTCTTAACTCAGGTTTTCCTTTCCATTTATTTGTTTTGTGATATTTCCTATCTTTACTATTGTCCGAATATGTTTTTCATTAGTTGACATATTCAGCGGCCTTATTTCTGTTCATCACTGATTTTTTTTATCTACTGATCAAAGGCAAATGTCACATTCCAACTATGAAATGTCATGAGAGATTCAGAGATCTATTCGTTGACTTTTCAAATATCCGACTATTTGTCTCAAGCCCCAATGTGAATCTTATTTTTGAAGGTTTATCAGCTATCTGACATAGGCAGAAACCAAACACCAGAATGTATCCAACATCTGTGTTTGTTTAAACATTTTGTAAAAAAAGCTGCTTTCACGACCCAAAAAATGCACAAATATACAGTTACTACACTTTACAAAAAATTCACTTTGAGTCGTCTTCTCGATGCTATGTGAAAAGTAAGGATTTTTTAATTGCCCAACTAGACCCACCCCCACTACTCCGCTCTTTAGGGTTTTGCCTTATGGGATTGACAAGAGCTAAGTAGCAAAGGATCCCTGTCTATAGTGACTGATCTTCCGCTGCAAGTCCTGTGATGAGCCAGACACCCTGGTCTGTCATCAACAGTGCCTTGGAGTACTATGAACCCACTTTGTTCAAGAACCAATCCCCTGTAATTGGTTCAATGTTACTCCCCAGTACAAAAAGGGGTAGAACTGGGAACTACAGGTCAGTTAGCCTAATACCAGTAGTGGGGAAACTTTTAGAGACTATAATGCAGGACAAAATAAATTTTCACTTAGAAAAGTATGGCTTAATAAAGGACAGCTAACATGGATTTGTTAAAGGAAATCCTGTCTAACAAATCTGATAAGAGTTTTTGGATGAAGTAACGTAGAGGGTGGGTGAAGGTATTGAAGTTGATGGAGTTGATATGAATTTTCAAAAGGCGTTTGATAAAGTGCCACATAAGAGACATGGAAGCAAATTAGAAGCCCACGGTATTAAAGGGACAGTGTCAGCATGGATACAGAATTGGCTCGGAGACAGAAAGCAAAGAGTGGTGGTGAATGGTTGTTTTTCTGACTGGAGGGAAGTATACAGTGGTGTCCCCTAGGGTCGGTATTGGACCACTGCTGTTTTTGATCTATCCAAATGACCTGGACTTGGATATAGGGAGTACAATATCCAAGTGTGCAGATGATACTGAGCTACGAAAGGTAGAAAACGGTGAGGAGGATACTAGCAGAATGCAAGAGGACTTTGACAGACTGGTAAAATAGGCAGACATGTGGCAGATGAAGTTTAATGTGGAGAATTGCGAAGTGATGCATTTGGGGAAGAAGAATGATGAGATTCAATATATAATAATAATAATCCTTGCATTTGATACAGCGCTTTTCACGTCTTCTAGATGTCTCAAAGTGCTTCAGAGAATATACTGTAAAGTAAATTGATTGTATATATGTGGATGAAATGCAGCAGCCAATTGTCCACAGCAATGTCCCACAAACAGTCATGGATTGAGTGACCAAATCATTATTGTTTTTTTCTTGAGGGATTATTATCAGGCGTGTATATACACAGCCTCTCCCAGTGTCTCTCCTGTACACACAGCCTCTTCTCTATACACACAGCCTCTTCCAGTATAATATAAGCTAGATGGTGCAATCTATGAAAGAATCATATCAGTAAATCTTTGAAGGTGGTAGGACAAGTAGATAAAGCTGTTAAAAAAAACATATGGGATACTAGACTTCATAAATCGGGGCATAGAATACAAAAGTCAGGAATTTATGATGAACCTTTATAAAACACTAGTTAGCCCTCAGCTAGAGTACTGTGTTCAGTTCTGGGCACTACGCTTTAGGAAGGATGTCAAGGCATTGGAGAGGGTGCAAAGGAGATTCACCAGGATGGTACCAGGAATGAGGGACTTCAGTTATCAGGAGAGGCTAGAGAAGCTAGAATTATTTTCCTTGGAGCAGAGAAGGTAAGAAGAGACTTAATAGAAGTTTTCAAAATTATGAGGGATTCGATAGGGTGAACAAGAAGAAACTATTTTCACTGGAGGGTGGGTCGTTAACCCGAGGACACTAATTTAAAATAGTTGCTTAAAGAAACAGAGGGGAGATGAGGAGAAATTGTTTACACAGCAAGTTGTTCAGATCTGGAATGCATTGGAGTCCTGTAGCTCAATGGTAGAGCACTCGCTTTGCAAGCGAGAGACCTGAGTTCAATTCCAGGCAGGGCGAAACCTTGGGCAAGTTTCCTTACTCCACACGCCTAATAATAATCCCTCCTAAACCAAAAACAATAAATAATTGGTCATTTTCAATCTACGACTGTTTGTGGGACATTGCTGTGCGCAATTGGCTGCCGCGTTCATCCACAAATATACAGTCAATTCACTTTACAGTGTGTTCTGTGAAGCGCTTTGGGACGTCCTCCCGACGTGAAAAGCGCTATATCAAACGCAAGGATTATTATTATTATTATTATTGCCTGAAAGGGTGCTGGAGGCCAATTCGATAAGAACCTTTAAGAGAGTAGACAATTATTTGGGGAGGACAAGTTTGCAGAGCTATGGGAAGAGTTTGGGGGAGTGGGATTGATTTGGATAGCTCTTTTAAAAGAACCAGACACAGTATGGCCTCCTTCTGTGCTGTATAATTCTGTATAATTCTATGAATCGGACTAAAGAGACATCACATAGGGTTCCGATATTCCATTGCCAGGCATATCAACTTACAGCCAGTTCAGACACAAAGAGACTTTGCTTCCCCCCCCACCACCACCTTGCAGCCAATTGCGCACAGCAGTGTCCCACAAACCATCGTGGATTGAAAATGATCAATTTATTATTGTTTTGTTTTGGAGGGATTATTATTAGGCGTGTGGAGTAAGGAAACTTGCCCATGGTTTCGCCCTGCCTGAAATTGAACCCATGTGTCCCACTTGCAAGGCGAGTGCTATAACCACTGAGCTACAGAACTCCACATACATTTCCTTGAGCGGCTAATAAATGGTATCACCAGCTATCAATATAGTTTGAGAAATATTTGAACTGTTTGATTACAATTACTGTAACACTTATTTTAATTGAAGCACATCAAATGCAATTATTGCTTATGCATCAATATTTTATCTAACCTTGAGTTAAAATCTCGGAACATCCACATGAATATGTGGATACTCTCTACCCCCTCCTCGCTCCCTCCCCTCACCATTTCCCCCCTGCTCGGGTCCTGACCCAACTGTACAGCGCCTTGGGACGTCCTCCCGACGTGAAAGGCGCTCTATAAATGGAATCTTCTTGTTGTTGTTGTTGTATTTGTCTTCTTTGATTTTGAAGCAGTTTTCTTTTTTTATTAGAGAGAATGATTCATTCCCAAAATCCATCACGGAACAAGAAGATGGGATACTTACACTGCCTAGGATGACTCCTGACCTTGCCGGGCTGTACGCGTGTGAAACGTATAACAAAGTTGGCTCTGCTAAAGCTTTTCTATATCTGTATGCAGGTGAGAGCTTTTCATTATGAATCTTTAGAATCAGAATTCAATGGCATAGACACTGCTAGAGTAAAGGGACCTTGTGCTGTTTTTGAATTTTTAATTGTGCCAGTATATTAACAAGGCAATAATCCATTTTTATTGTAGGGGTAATTGCTGGCAAGTACAACATAGTGATAATTGCTTGTGGTATGTTGGTGAGGGAGGTCTACAACCAATGTTTCAACATGGAAATGGCACCACAGGTGAGGCTGGATGAGCCTTTTAGAATGTGTACAATGTCTCTATGAGGGCCCTGACATCAAGGTCGGGTCCAGAGAAAGGAGAAAAACCTGAGGGGAATACAGTCGGGGTCAAAACTGTCAACACCAAACAAAGGATCTGTATTGATGTTATAAAGAAATCTCAAAAGGATTTTGTTTTTGATCAGCCGGGGGTTATGACACATGGGAAGCCTATCACCAACCTTAAGAATATCCAAATCAGTTACACATATGTATGTCACATACAAACAGAAATCTCCCTGTGTCTGGATAGAATGCACAATGCAGCATTGCATCCTAATTCCAGAGAATAATAGGCATAGTTTGGCAATAGACAAGCCTTAAGGACACCAGAATGTGCTGTGCGTTGGTGTGCTGCTGGAATGTAATCAGTTAAAACAGCACAGCTTGACATTGAGAGTACTATCTGGCAAGCTTCCTGCTGCTTGTTCTTCTTAAACCACTCTATCCTTTAGATTTTTGACTTACAGTAGCTGACTGGGAAGAATCCCTGCCCCCAGTGACTGGTCTGCTTTTCCAAGAACGACTGATGAGCCAGATTAGCTGGTCTGACATCAGCAGTGCCCTGCAGTACTGCAGATGTGACCAGCTCAGGATCTGGACTAATGAGATCATCACAGAGGTTTGACTTGTTTCTGATATTCTGTTCCAAGAATCATCAACTCGGAGCCAGCTCAGCTCCAAACCAACCGCCTCCCCCAGGGGCGACATTCATAATATCAAACAAAATGTAGACAGTCCTTTCAGCAATATTGATTCTTGATCTAATTCTGAAAGTACAGCAAGACGTATTTTCCATGATTACTGGACAATTCTGTTGCCAGTTTCCATTGTCATAAAATATTCATGTGGATGTTCCGAGGTTTTAACTCAAGGTTAGATAAAATATTGATGCATAAGCCACGCATTGTAACGTTGTCCACTCCAGCTGACCCTTCAAGCAGCGGCAACCTGGAGGAGAAGGGTGTCACTAACATCCTTCCCCAGAAAAAGGATGAATAAGGAGCGATGAAAGAACATAATGCAATAATAATAATATAATAATAGAGTAATGCTTCTTATCTTTATAAATCGTGTTATTACCTAAGTTATACATTGACTCCGGCCCCATTCAGTTTCCTATCAAAACCACTTTGATTTCTTTGCACTATTTGTATTTATCACCTAACTCGTAACGCCACTCCCCTACCCTCCACTACTCCTGCAATTATTGGCTGTCTTGGATTGTCGGAAATAACGTTCTGACCCGGTGACACATGTGCACCAGCCAACCGGCTACATTGAATCACGGGCAACGTAGTCTTGCTCCGTCGACACTTGTGCAGAAAAATGTCACTTCCCGTGATGCAATGTGATTCCAGCACTTGTGGCCACAGGTCATACTCAATGAATCATGGGAGAAGTAGTCTTGACTCGTCACCACATAGCACTTACCGGCTGCATTGAATTACACGTGCACAGCATACATTATTGATTAACGTGGATTTGATACGATGTATACAAGTTTGCCTACATCTTGGAATCTCCCTTCTTTCCCTTCCAGTCCGTTCTCACCTCTCTCCTTTTTCTCTCTCTCTCTCTCTCTAACCCTCTCTAAATTATTTACAGCCCTAGGCTCTTGTCTAACCGAATAAATAAAGCCAAGAGTACCAAACCCTCTTTCTCTCTTCTGCACTGTGTCCTCCAGCCTCCTCCGTTCCTGCAGCTCACTATACCCTGCTGATCGCTTTGCTTCCCTCGCTTTTTCACTGCAGCTCTTGACCCGAGGTGCCCTTCCCAGATTGGCTACAATTCTACTTTGATATACACATTCAATTCTTCTCTCCTAATGCTTTCCTCGCCTCCTCTCGTTCCTGGACCCTTCCATTGCTCTAGCTTGGGTATCCTCTGCCAGACATATCGCAGCACTCATCATGTTTGCCCCAGAGCAGCCACCCAGTCTGCCCCATCGCCCACTCTTTCCACAAGGTCTGCCTCCCTTTCCTGTAACTCTGACCTCCTCAACCTCCACGGTCCATCCCCAGCGATCCTTCCTATCCCACATCAGGTTCCTGACCAGGACAGCTTTCCATCACCTCCATCACATTGCCTGTCTGTGGCAGCACCCACACCCCCCCCCCCCCTTCTCATCTCAAGCAGGCTGGTTTCCACAAGAGAGACAGAGAGGGAGAAACTTTGTTCTTCAGCCTGTGTGTATTCCGAAGGAGAGTGTAATGCAGCATGAACAAAGGCATCCTCGTTGATAAGATGATGAGAAAAGCGATTAGAAGGCCTGAAAGAATGCTTCCTCCAGGAGAGATGGTGATCGCTTAGCATACATTGCACATGAAGTAAAACAAAGTAAGAACTAGCATGAACTGGTCAGGAGTAGTTTCGGTGAAACCACTGGTGACATCTGGTCAGGGGCTGGCATGAAAGTAGACTATAAAAGCGTAATACCCAATAAATCAAAAGGAGAGGAAGAAACCAACACAGAAGAAGGACATGGGTCGATGTACGCTAAGCGGTCACCATCTCTTCCGGAGGAAGGATTTGATCACCCTTGAATCCGAGCTACACGTCCCCGGTTGTATGTATGGTACAACAGCTTATCAATGTCACTTTGGTTGTATTAAAATACTAACATCATTCTGAGGAATGCTGGTCAGCCTCGTTGTATTACATCGTGAGGAACTCAACAAATTTGCACTCCATTACACTCATCCTGGTTAGGCCACTGGCTCCCTATCACAGAACTGATTGACTTCAAGATACTCACATTCGTCTACAAATACCTTCATGCCCTGCCACCTCCACTCAGCTGGCTCTGGCCCCTGCTGGTCCCTTGTCCCCTCTGCTCCACCATCAGTGGCTTAGTGGCTGATATTTTAAAAATAAAATGATTTAAGTATCAGCCACTGGGCCTCAAAACTTTGGAATGCTCTCCCTCAGTTCCTCCATCTTGCCCCCTTCTTCCCTATTTTCATATTACACCCAATGATCTTCCTCTTCGACTGTGCTAACGGTCATCTCCCCCAACTTGGCGTGAGGCTCTACCAATGTTAAGCTCCTGCCACTGCCATCCCAGCCATGACCACACAGCCTGAGGGCTGATGCCGTCCCGCTGATCGCGCGCTCCCGGTCTCTGCGTGAGCATTTTGGCTGCCGCCCCAACCCAAGCCTCCCCCTCCACTCTAAATGTCTCTCCTCCCACCCCCCTCTATCTGCTACTCCCCCTCTGTCATTCTCTCCCACCGCCCTCCCCGCCTTCGCTCTCTCCTCAACCCCATCACCACTTCCTTCTGCTCCAGCCTGGGCATCCTCCGCCGGGCCCATCATGGTCCCGGCACTGGCTATCCCAGAGCAGCAACCCCAAGTGTCCAATCATTCACTCCCTCCGCTCAAACCGCCTGCTTAAGGCAAACCCAACTTCCCCTCCCTCATATGTACCTTCCCCAACTCTCCACTCACACCACTCTCCACAACCCTCTCTCCTGTATACCCAAAAATCCTCTCCGCATCACTCTTTCCTCCCTCCAGCAAACCCATCCGCATTTCCCTCCAAAATGTCCGTTCCCTCTCAAATAAAGCCCTCACCATCCACGACCTCATCCTGGACGAGCATCTTGATATTCTTAGGCTCACCGAAACCTGGCTCTCCCCCAATGAACCCATCCCCCTAGCGAAGCCTCCCTCCAGGCTACACCTTCCATCCAAACCAACGTGGCGGAGGGGTGGTCTTCATTTCCAAAGCCTCCCTTGGTCTTAGCCCCTACTCCTTTGGCTGCTTCCCCTCTTTTGAGCACCTCACCCTCTTCCATCCCTCTCTCCCATTGAAAATCCTTCTTGTCGTCCTCCCGACGTGAAAGGCACTCTATAAATGGAATCTTGTTGTTGTCTACTGCCTCCCTAAGCCCTCCGGCTCCTTCCACACAGACATCTCTACTCTCCTCTCTTCCCTGTCCCTCTGCTCCGAACGCCTGCTCATAATGGGCGATTTCAACCTCCACCTAAACTCCCCTTGCACTACTTCTGCCGACTTCACTGCCCTCCTCTCCTCCCTGAATCTCATATAAATTCACCTACCCACAACCGTGGTCATGCCCTTGACCTCGTCATCACCCACAGCCTTGACATTTCTGACCATCCACGACCTCATCCTGGACGAGCACTTTGATATTCTTGGGCTCACCGAAACCTGGACAAGGCCATCTCGGACCACTTCCTCATTTCCTTCTCCTCTCACATCCTTCTCTCCTCCACTAAGCCCTCAACCATTCTCTACCGCCCTTGGAAAAGGCTACCCCCTGAAACCTTCACAAAAGCCCACACTTCATCAAACATCCTATCCCTCTGGCCTCCCACCCACGGAAATCCTGAAGCAGCCATCCAGCTGCTCCATGATCGCCTCTCCTCCACCTTCAACTCCCTCCTCCCCCTGAAATCCAGGACCATTTCCAAACCCACCCGATCTCCCTTGTACAACTACCATCTCCGCTGCCTAAAAACCCAAGCCCGGCTGCTTGAGCATAGATGGCGGAAAACTGGCCTGAGCAAAAACGGCCTTCTACTCCAACATCATCTTGGAGGCTAAACACAACCCTAAAATCCTTTTTTCCACCACCCACTACCTCCTCCATGCGCCCCCTCAGGCCTCCTCAATCTCATGGACTTCTTTTCATCTAAAATACACAACATCCACCAGGCAGCCTCATTCTCCTGCCTCTTGTCACCCACCACCATGTCTCCCTCAGCCTCCCCATCATCTGCTCCTACCATGACCCCCATCCTACATTCCTTCCTCCCCATCTCTCCCTCCTGCTTCTCACCCACCATCACCTCCATGAAACCCACCCAATGCTGCCTCGACCCCCTCCCCACCAATTTACTGGTCACACAGCTCCCCCTCCTCTGCCCAATACTGGCTGACATCATCAACCAGTCACTCTCCTCCGGATCAGTCCCTGCCTCCCTCTAATCTGCTGTCATCACCCCCCTCCTGAAAAACCCTCCCTATTCCCTCAAACTCCAGCCACTACCGCCCTATTTCTAATCTGCCCTTCCTCTCAAAAGTTCTAGAATGCGTTGTTGCCAATCAACTTCGCACACATCTCTCCTCCCACTCCCTCTTCGAACACCTCCAGTCCAGTTTCCGCCCACAGTACAGAGACTGCACTTGTGAAAGTCACAGACGACATCCTCTCTATCTGTGACCAGGGCTCCCTCTGCCTCCTTGTCCTCCTGGACCTCTCCGCCACATTCAACACAGTCGATCATGCCATCCTCCTCCACCGCCTTTCCTCCGTCATCCACCTCAGTGGGTCCGCACTTGACTGGTTCGAGTCCTACCTCACAAACTGCCGGCAGTACATCTGCACAAACGGCTTTTCCCCCCGCTCTCACCCAGTTACTTGCGGGGTACCCCAAGGAGCCATCCTTGGCCCCCTCCTCTTTCTGATCTACATGCTCCCTCTTGGGGATGTCATCCGCAGATATGGGGTACACTTCCACATGTATGTGGACAACACCCAACTCGATTTTTCCACCTCACTTTGGGACCCCCAGTCCCCTGATGTTCTGTCAGCCTGACTGTCAGATCTCAGGAGATGGATGAGTGCAAATTTCCTTCAGCTGAACATTGACAAGACAAAAGCCATACTCTTTGGCTATTGTCAACGTCTAAAATCTCACAGCTCTCACCTCCTCCACCTACCCGACCTCCCCCTAAAACTCTCCGAACCCATACGCAACCTAGGCATCAGGTTCGATCCCCAATTATCCTTCCTCTCCCACATCCAGTCCCTCACCAGCACCGTTTTCTTCCACCTCCAACTCATTACCCGTCTCTGCCAATACCTCTCTCCGAAAGCCGCTGAAACCCTGGTCCATGGCTTTGTCACCTCTCGGCTGGACTATTCTAACTCCCTCCTCGCCGGCCTCCCCTCCACTACCATCCATAGCATCCAGATTATTCTTTCTGAAATGCTGTACTCTGTCTAGCGCCTCGGGATGTCCTCCCGACGTGAAAGACGCTATACAAATGTAATCTTGTTGTTGTTATTCAAAACTCTGCCGTCCGCATTCTCACCCACACCAAACTCCGCTCCCCGATTACCCCAGTCCTTGCCAGACTGCACTGGCTGCCTGCCCAAAGAGGATCAAGATCCTCACCCTTGTCTTCAAATCCCTCCACTCCTCTGCACCCCCCTACCTCTGATCTCCTCTCTCCTCAAAACAGTGCCTGTTGCCTTCGTTCCTCTGGGTCTGGCCTCCTCCTTGTTCCCCGAGTCCTCCACTCCACCCTTGGCGGCTGTGCCTTCAGCCACTAAGCCCCAAGCTCTGAAACTCTCTTCCTCGCTCCCTTCGCCTCGCCCCCTCTCTTCCTATCTCTGCTGAAGACCTTTCTTTTCGACCACGCCTTTGGTCACCTTCCTTCCCCTCCCCCTGGCTCGGTCCCAGAATCTGTTACTGTGAAGCCCTCTGAGATGCCGTCCGGCGTGGAGGGCGCTATATAAATCCAAGTTGTTGTTAAGCTCTTCGAGACCCTACCCTGCCTGAAGGGTGCCATAAAAAATGTAAGTTGTTGTAAGCAAATGTAAGCAAATTGTTGTAAGTGAGTCAACATTTCGGGTCCACGACCCTTCATCAGAATGCATTGATAAATCTTTTGAAAAACTTTTATTCCAGATCATTTCACACAACGCCAACACTTTATGATTTATGTCATAATTGTGCTGCTCCTATTTGTGATAATTGCTCTCAGCTTTTTTCTTCATAAGAAAATCTCATCAACAAGAAATGACACACCATCTCAACAGTAAGTATTTTTGTGTCAAAATTCAAGCATCACATCTATTAACTAGGTTACATTTTTTCTATTAAGAAATCTAGAATATACAAACCTGAAAGTTTTAACCATAGCAATATCACATTTCATTCAACAAAAAAACAACAAACCTGATTGTGTGACCAAACTGAAAATAAACAGTATTACAAGTCTATGTATGTTTATGTGAACAAATAATGTAATGTTTTGTTCAGACAGATTTTTGCAATAAATTTAAATGTATCATTGTACATTTCAGTTTTGAGCATTTTATTCAGCTTCCTTTGATGTTTACAGCAGTTTAACAACTTTGTCCACTTGTTAAAGTAGAGGAACGTATATGTTCATTGCAACAATTTATTTGTTTATTATTTCACATTTCTTTCTTTCAGAGCTGCACCTTTACAGCAACTTGAAAATAGGAAAGAGGATCAGGTAAATAAAAATCAGCTGGAAAATATGTAACAAACCTCTTCAGTACTGAGAGCCTCAAACAAACCTTTGACAAGTAAATCAGGATATGTGTATAGTTTATTAACACCATAAAAACTACCTGTACAGTCCATATCCACGGTCAGTGTACAGCTCTATACAGAGTTTTAATCTGTCTAAATACTTTAAATATAATATGATAGTGTTCATCTTTATCCCTTCATATTTATGGGATGCTGAACTATGCAGATCTAGGATAATATTCCAACTGGGTCTAGATTTACTCTACCAATATAGCATTTCAGAGCATCTAGGATATGGAAAAATGTTGAATTCAGTTTTCACTTTAAAACCTGCTGTGTGTACTTCTTAAAAGAGGTTTTAGAAAAATGGCTTCCAAATTAAAGACTGTGTTTAAGAATTTGAAAAATTCTGAATCTGAACATTAATAAAGTAAATCTAGACCCAGGGAGAATTTCCAATATTCCTCCAAATTATTATTTTAAAAATATTTTATATTTAGAATATTAGCTTTTTGAAATATAAATAATATTTATTCAGTAGTGAATATATTTGTTAGTTGCCAGTTGGTGTCCAATATTCCTAAATATAGGAAGTAAGAATAGAAAACAAGTATTCCATGGAATGAGATCTAAAGTGCCAAGTGGGGAGCAGAAAATGATATGGGTGTTGTTAACTCGTCTGAAATGACTGGAACAGGTTGCCAGGAGGGTAGTTGAAGCCAAGACACTGATCTAATTTAACATGCAGCTTATTACTGGGCTGGGAGGATGGTATGGTTGGTGTTCTGGAAGGATAAGACCAGTTGAGCTGAATGGCTTCTTTATCCATACTAAACTTGTGATCTTGTGGTAAATGGAATAAAGAAATGTCACAATCTCAACATTGGATTGTTGCAAAAAGTATTATCAATGTTTTTTATAACAAAATCTGTCCCACTCGGGGTTGGGGGGTTAGCGGTGGGGGGAACACCAGCACAGGCCCAAAAGGTCAAATGGTCTGTTTCCAACCTGCACTACGTTTAAAAACGGAGATCCGTCAAACACCATCATTGCTCACCAATGTCCTGACTGTGGGCTCCAGAAGATCACCACCTCCTGACTCTCAGGGCCTGCCACCCCACACAGACACAGAGACCCACAGAGAGACACACTTACAGACAGAGGAGAGAAACACACAGACACAGTCACACAAGAGACACTCGTTCGGAGACACTCACAGACAAACACACATACACATACAGAGCAACAACGCAACAACAAAATTACATTCATAGAGCGCCTTTCACATTGAGAGGACGTCCCAAAGCACTGGTCAGGTGTCGGGGCCCGAGCATGGGGGAGGGGTGGTTTAGGTGTGAGGGAAGGCAGAGAGGTGGGAGGGTGACAAAAAGCACGATACAGAGGGCAGAGTGTCACATAGACACACTCACACACACTCGTACACACAAACAGATACACTCACAAACCCATGCGCACACGTACAGAGGATAGAGAGACACTCAGACAGTCTCACCGCGCAGGCATGTCCGGAACCACTCCGCCCACAGTAGCATTGAGTAAACAGCCTCCAGCAACGCAAGAGGCCCAGGGCCCCGAGCTCACTGTGTTTACAGGTTTGTAGCGAGGGGGTGTTTGTAGCAGTGCTGTGTGTGTGTGTAATGGAGGGGTGTGTGTGCAGCAGAGTGGGGTGTAGCAGAGGGGGCTGTTTGTAGGTGGCGTGTTCGTGGCAGAGGAGGCTGTTTTTAGCGGAGGGGTGTAGCGAATCCGTTTGTAGTGGAGGGGCTGTAATGGAGGGGGCTGTTTGTACCAGAGGGGTTGTTTGTAGCAGAAGGATTGTTTGTAAAAGAGGGGGTGTGGTGGGGGAGTTTTTAGCGGATTCTGCAGAAAAATTACAGCCGCACCTTTCTATATGCCCAGGTCATGAGTCTCTGGTTACAAACAGACAAGCAAACCCTTGTTTTTCTCAATCACAAGACTTTTTTTTCAAACTGTTACATGTACATGTGTACATTTCCTTCCATGTTTTTACTACATTTCATTCGTCTTTGCTTAGTTCCCAATTACCTTATCGCCCCCACCCTCTCCCGGCTCCACTGGCTCCCCAATCCCCAGAGGATAGAGTTCAAAATCCTCGTTCCTCACCCTCAAAGCCCTACATGGGCTTACTCCTTCGCTCCTCTGTGACCTGCTAAACACATATCAACCTGTCCACTCCCTCCGCTCAGCAGGAACCGGTCTGTTTCATATCCCTCGCCCGGCCAGCCCTACCATTGGTGGTCCAACCTTCAGCCTCGCTGCCCCCACCCTTTGAAAATCCATCCCAGAAGTCCCTTTGCCTCGTTCCCTCCCTTACCTCTTTCAAGGCATGACTCGAAGCCCCTCCTCTTTAACCGCACCTTTGGTCACCCTCCTACCCCTACTCTCCCTGCCCCATACCCCTCCTGATCCCAATTCTCAGCTCAGGTCCAAATCCTTGACTGCCCAGTTCCTTGGGACTTCCTCCCGACATGAAAGGCGCTATACAAAAGTAATGTATTGTTCTTCTTGTGTTCCTCTTGCCAACTGTCATACTGATATAACACAATGACTTCAGTGCCCTCAGGGAAATGCAGTATTATTTTCAGATTGTATACATCAATCTTGATTGTAACTGTGCCAGACTAGATAATAAGTGTGTAGGTGAGGGAGCGTGAATACGAAAGGCATGTGAAAATGAGTGTGTGTGTGTGAGAGAGAGAGAGAGCGCAGGGAGCATAAAAGAAAGATATGTTAAAAGGGGAGCGGGATCTTGTAGGATGTTACTGGTAGCGGAGGGGTTACTGATAGCAGAGGACGTTCCTGGTTCAAATTAACCAAATTTGTCTATGTTAAAATCACTTCATTTCTAATTTGTTTTTGTAAAGCACTTTGAGATGTTCAATTGTAAATTAAGGACAATACGTAAGTCTATGTTATTGCATTGAACCTTAGGATGAAGATACCTAAAATCTACCAGATGAAATTGGATCACAGTCAAGACAAGAATCAGAAGCATCCTCTGTCTGAAAGCTTGAAAACTAGGAAAATGTCTCTTCCTCCAAAAGATCAGGTTTAAAACCTGAAAACAGAAGTAAAAGTTTTGAAAGTACTACAGGAACAGTTGGTTTCATCAATCATTGATCTAATCTCTATCTTGAGTGGAAGTGGTTATTAGGATAACTTAATGAGTTTTTTATTATCTTTGCTCATTTGGTAAAACACTAATCTTTATATCAGAAAATTTAGGTTTCAAGCGCAACATCAGGACATGAGTAAAAATAGTCCAGGTAACATTATAATGCATTAGCCAATTTTCCTTTCCTTATTCCACACACCCCTAGCATTAAGTAAACTAGCATTAAATAAAAACCCAATTGTTAGTCAATTGATGGATCGCTTTTTCGGGGGTAAGAATCTCTTCCAAAAATAAGTCAATGAATAAATGATAATTTGGTCACTCAATCCACAACTGTTTGTGGGACACTGCTGTGCGCAATTGGCTGCAGTGTTTCACCCACAAAACACACAGTCACTACACTTTATTGTCATTATTAGTTTTTCCCAGTATCCTGGCCAACAATTCTTCAGGTAAAACTGATCAATCATCTCATAGCTATTTGTGGGATATTGCCATATTTATCTACAAAATAGTCACTTGACAATCATTATTTATGAGGCTATTTGAAAACGATTTGCTTGCCTGAGTAGTCACGTAATAATCTAGTTTTCAATTTAAAAAGACAGACAACAACAACAACAACAAGATTCCATTTATAAAGCGCCTTTCACGTCAGGAGGACGTCCCAAGGCGCTGCACAGTTGGGTCATGACCCGAGCAGGGGGGAAATGGTCAGGGTGAGGGGAGGGAGCGAGGAGGGGGGAAATGGTCAGGGTGAGGGGAGGGAAGGGAGGGAGCGAGGAGGGGGAAGAGAGTCGAGAGGGGAGCTGAAGGCTCGGTCAAAGAGAAAGGTCTTGAGACCGGCCTTGAAGGAGGAAAGGGAGGAGGCAAGGCGAAGGCACTGGGAGATGGAGTTCCAGAGCCTGGGGGCTGAGAGGCTGAAGGCCCGACCACCGATGGTAGGGCGGTTGGGGCGGGGGACGTGGAGCAGACCGGAGCCAGAGGAACGGAGGGTACGGGCAGGTAGGTAGGGGGATAGCAGGTTGGAGAGGTAGGAGGGAGCAAGGCCGTGAATGGCCTTGTAGGTGAGGATGAGGATCTTGAAATCAATCCTCTGGGGGATGGGGAGCCAGTGGAGGCGAGCGAGGGTGGGAGTGATGTGGTCCCGAAGCCTGGTGCGGGACAGTACACGACCGTACATGACCCTTAGGATCATCACATTGTCTGCTCAATTTTATTGAGTTGGTTTTGTGAAATGATCAGCAAAATCTGCACTGTGATTTCATACCACAAACTCTAATTGTGCCTTTGTGTAATGGTATTTTGACCACTCTATCATTCTAGGAACATAGGAACAGGAGTAGGCCAACATAGGAAATAGCTTTTCTGCATCTATCCTATCAAATCCCTTTATCATCCTAAAACCCTCTATCAAATCATCCCTCAATCTTCTAAACTCGAGGGAATACAATCCAAGTTTACGCAGCCTTGTTTCATAGTTCAGTACTAGTTTGGCCAATCGCAGCTTAAAGCTGTTTGTCCAATTATCTTACTACATGTGGTAGGGCATATATCACCAGTGCAAAGAAATTATTAATGTATAGAGTCCAAAGGTAACATCGCTAATCCTTCACTTTAGCTTGAACCAACAAGTCATATAATGTGTTCAGAAGCGGAGTTGACCCCATGTAAGGTGTTAGATTGAGTAGAATATTGTAGAAATTATAATACCTTATAGCAAGTATAAGACAGTGGTTTAAAACGTTAAAGTTATACTGTGGTTGTTGGTTTCAGGCACTGTGAGAAGCAGACAAACCTTTAGTCCTGATGTATGAGATAAGGGCCACCTGGAGATAGGGGGAGACCCTGAGCCTGGCACCACGACAATGGAATATGTGTCTGAAGGCTTTTTCTTTTAGACTGGTTACACTCTCAGGGACAGTACTGAGTTACAGTTAACCCTGTCTCAATTCCAGATGGCCAAAAAGAAGAGAACCGCGTTGATCAGGTTAGACAGGACAAAGGAAGAATAAAATTCTGGAGACCATAATCTTATCTGACCGGAACAAAGGTTACAGACTACATAGAACTGGTAGTATGACTATTTATCTCTTTTGCTATATACTCATAAACTGTTTGTGAATAATAAACCATTATACCTTTATTAAGGATTGTTGAGTCATTATTTTGAATCCTCGGGATCGTTATATCCCAACAAAGGATTCATTTAAATTTGTGACACTGCGGTAAAGTAAGGACTGACACAAATGTTGTACAAAAATATAGATGTTTATTAACTCAGATTAGTAATAGTTACAAATAACTAAAAGAATACATCACAATAATGCTTACATATCCACATATAGTTCACAATGATTTAAGTTGATTGAACCAAATGCTGTGGAAGAGATGGAGTAGCAATGTCCAAATTAATGTTCATTTTAATGTGTCCTTTTTAATCCAAATGTAGATATGTCCAAAGGTATCCAGGTATTGTTATACATTTCTTAGTTCAATCACTGAAAAGTATCCAGGTATTATTGTGTGTTCAATTCGATCACTCGAAAATATCCAGGTATCATGGCCCGTCCAATTCTATTATTGCATGTCCAATTCGATCCATCTCTTTCTTCAATTCTTTCTTCTGATTCACCTAAGTGCCATAATTCTTTTTCAATCCCTTAAAAAATCCTGGTAAATGCATACTCTTAATAGCATTGCACTAATTGTCAAATTGTCTAATTGTATGATTTGTATTTTCTTTGAGCATACATAAGTCCACCCTCGGTGGTAGGCCTTCGGCCTTTCTGCCCCCATCCTCTGAATCTCCATCCCAGAATCGCTTCACCTTAACCCCTCCCTTGCCTCCTTCAAAGCCTATCTCAAGACCTTATTCCTCTTTAACCATGCTTTCAGTGATCCTCCCACCCCAAGCCCTTGCCCTCCATCTCTCTTGATTCCAACTCCTAGCTTGATAGCAAACCCTTGACTGTCGATCGTCTTGGGACGTCCTCCTGACATGAAATGCGCTATATAAATGCAATTTGTTGTTGATTCAATTGGTATCACTCTTACCTCTGAGTTAGAAGATTGTGGGTTTAAGGCCCATATCAGGGAGCCCCATATTAGCTCCTTGGGATAACAATCCAATGTAAGCAGCACTCCGTTGTTAAGAGGTGCCATATTTCAGACAAGATCTTAAACCAAGGTCCTGTCTGTTCGCCCACAATTATACAGTCAATCCACTTTACAGCATATTCTGTGAAACGCTTTGAGGTGGCTAGAAGACGTGAAAAGCGCTATATCAAATGCAAGGATTATTATTATTATTGTTGTGTAACATCTCTCATCTCTCAAATAAAATAAAAGTACTTTTCACTTCAAGAATGAAAAGGTTTCATCTTCATTGTAGGCCCATGGCCTCTACTCTCCTATTATTATTATTATTTCTTTCTGGGCTTTTAACCTGCTATGTGTACTCCCATCGGATCTTCTGGGTCACCTGTTTTATCATACAACACCATCTACACAATCACTTGAACAATAAAGATCCCACAGTAGTAAGAGGCCCGAGGCCTGTGTCCTGGCCAATGATGCCCCAGGTAAAAGAAATGGTGACTGTTTGTGGGGCATTGTGCAAATTGGTTGCTGCGTGATGGGATTCAATTTGACAGGGCATTATATCAAATGTATAAAAGGCAGTGTTTGAACAACATCAAACTACACTAAGCTATTGAGGTGCTACTGATATGTATGCATTCTGGGGGCATTCTGAGTTTAGACAGAAATTCAGCATTGTGGATAAGCATTCTTTTGCCACTTGTGTTTAGCTGTGACCCGAGATGTGTTTAAACAGAAAAGACATGTTGGAACTTGTGACCGAGTAAGTTTATTAAATTCAACGATGATTAATTACCTCCCTAATGTGCCTCTGCTAGGTTTGTTTATTCACTGCAGAGGCTTGTATATAAATAATGGCCTTGCAGGAAAGACAGTGGGAAAAAGTTGAGAGGAGGCGGAAGGGGATGAAAATTGGCCTGAGTAGAAAGAAGAAAATTAATGCCTTAAAGAGAGAGGGTGGGAGAAAAGGAAAATGTTGCCAAGAATGTATCCTGTGAAGAGCTTGCGAGACCCCATTCAATCTTCCCTCACCTCTGTAATATTGCTTCCCTCCGCCATTAACTCTCCCTCACTCCCCTGAGAAACTCATGCACATTTTCATGTCCAGACTTGACTACACCACTGCCCTGCTCGTCAGACTGCCCAGCTCTTCCCCACACAGGGTCAGATTATTCAGAACCCTGCAGCCCGTGTCCTCTCCCTCACTAAGCTCCACAAGCCTAAGAACCCTATCCTCATTCAGTTCCATTGGCTCCCTATTCTGCCATTGAGACCAAGATTGTCATTCTCACCTTCAAGTCCCTCCACCTCCTTTGCCTTACTCCACTTCTGCAATGTCCTTCAATTCCACAAACCCAATCACTCCCTTCACTCAGCAACACTGGCCAACTTCAAGTCCCCCGCCGTACTGTGTCATGGTGTTTTTATGCCTGGTACAAACCATGCACGAAACTTTGTATTATTTGTACCATCCACAACCTATATATTTTTATCTCTACAATGGTGGAGTTCCGTAAATACAGCATAGACCCAAGGTTTAAGCAAATTAAGCAACTGTCAATATTACTCATCCTATTTGCTTAGCATTAAATAGTTGGAACAAATAGGAAATCATATATTCGTATGAGACTTCAAAGCTATGGGTGCCAATTCATGGCCGATCGTAAAACCATGACCCTATTTAAGTGCTATCCTGCCCTCAAAGAGATTTCCTATTTGTTCCAACTATTTAATGCTAAGCAAATAGGATGAGTAATATTGACAGTTGCTTAATTTGCTTAAACCTTGGGTCTATGCTGTATTTACAGAACTCCACCATTGTAGAGATAAAAATGTTCTCAGTTTAAACAATAACAGATGTAGCTAAACAAAAGGCAAAA